GGCCCACTATTCTACACCTGGCCCATGGAGCATTCTCCCACTACGGCTTCAACAAGACTTACCATGGGATTCGTCAAGACTACTACTGGCCAGGTATGGTAAATAACGTCAAACAGTACGTAAAACAGTGTCATACATGTCAGATGGCAGGCAAACCGAACGTCTCCATTCCCAGAGCACCACTGATTCCCATACAGGTGCCTGTGGAACCTTTCCACAGACTCATAATAGACTGTGTTGGTCCTTTACCTCGGACCAGTTCAGGTAACGCCTACATCCTAACCATCCTGTGTCCTACCACCAGATTTCCCATAGCAGTTCCAGTGAAGAACATCACGGCTGCTACGGTTATCAAACATCTATTGAAGATCTTCACTCAATACGGATTTCCCAGGGAGATTCAAAGTGACTGTGGCACCAACTTCACCAGTGATCTCTTCAAAAGGACACTGGAGGAGTTCAACATCAAACAGGTATTGTCCAGCCCCTATCATCCTGCTTCACAGGGTTCTCTTGAACGTAGTCATCAGACCATCAAAGCACTCTTGAAAAAGTTTTGTAGTGAAACCTCAAAGGATTGGGATAAGCAGATTGACCTAATAATGTGTATTTTCAGAAGTCTCCCCAATGAGTCCCTAGGAGTATCTCCTTATGAGATGCTCTACGGCCGTAAGTGCCGTACTCCCCTTAAGGCTTTCAAAGACTCTCTCAGAGATGCCACCTTCAGTGAGCATCAGAATGTGCCCCAGTTTCTTCAAAACCTTCAACACATTCTAGAGAGAGTCCACCGCTTTGCTCATGATAATCTATTGAAAGCCCAGGTGAGAATGAAGACTCATTACGACCAGACCAGCAAAGTAAGAAAATTCAAGCCGGGAGACTTCGTCCTTGCTTATTTCCCTATCCCAGGTTCACCTTTACAAAACAGATTTTCAGGACCCTACTGCGTCAAAGAGTGCAGGAATAATAATAATTATGTGATAGAGACTCCAGATAGGCGGCGGAAGACCCAGCTGTGCCACGTCAACCTCCTGAAGCAATATAATGGTACTCCTCCCACTGTCTTGATTAATTGTTCTACCTTCACAGAACCCTACATCCACAGTGAGACCATCCCGGCTTCTTCTCCCGAAAGCACTGACAAGGAGTCGGCGCTTTCTAATTCCAAAATCCTTAATGATCTTCCCAAATGCTTTCAGGATAATAATCGTGCTCCTATGCCCTCTTCTAATTCCACTCTCACCTCGTCAGATAAGCCCTTCATCCTCCATGTCGACGCCAATGGTACCGACGTGGGTGGTGTCGTGATGCAGCAACGAGGCGAGAAGAATACACCTGTCAGCGACTACTGCTACAAGGATCTACGGAACAATTGGCAAGGAGCTACTCTTCCTCATCCTGAAGCTTCAGCACTTCACTCCACACCTGAAAAGTGCTCGGTCCACCATCAATACGGACCACACCACCCTACACCTCCTGCAGCACGCCCACTTCTCATCTCAACGTCTTCTACTATGGGCTTGCTACCTGCAGAAATTCAACCTGGAGACACGCTATACCAAGAGTCTGACAACATCTTAGCCCATGATCTCTCCAGAGTTTATGAAGTAGAAGCGACTCCATCCATTACTCCACCACATAACGACGTACTTCTTCCAGAACCGCAGGCTTCGGGGGAGAGTTGTGACGATAATCTCCTTCAAGAGATTGAGCCTGCTCTTCCCTCCAAAATTACGTCTTCACAATTATATAAAAAGACTATGGAAGAAATGTCCAACAACGACAACAACACCAGCACCAGCAAGGCTTGCCAGGGTGAGCAGAAACGTATGCAACCAGCCACCTGTTCGAACTCCAACCACCAAACTACCCGTTGATCGCTACGGCTCCGCTGATTGGTCGCCGGTCTGGCTGCACCTGTACTCGCCCCCAATACTACCTGATGTCTGGGGTCGCCCCAACATCAGTCCTCAGAATGTTCCGTGCTTTCGTAGCCAGCACTCCTCCCAGCTAGACGTTAGCGTGTACTGAGAGAGGTGGTGGCTTTAAGCCAATATTCCAGCACCTCCCACTTACCTTTGTGTTGCACTTCTTGTTATTTTGCCTTAACGTAACTTTTCATTTTGTCATTTAAGTATTCTTATTATTTTGATTCATTGATTTTATTATAAGAATTTGTTTGTGCATTATTTTCATGTTTTGATTTATTTAACGTAATTAAAATTTCATTGTTAAAGTTTTACTCGTGTTTTGTGTGTCTTCTCCTTACCTTACCACAGACGAAGTTCCAGTTTTTCTATTTTTTTTTATAACTATGTGACGAGGCCATACCCCTAGCCTTAAACAGCCGAACACCAACGCGTTACCGTCACAATATGCATGTACAGTACAATGTAGCCTCATTTATATGGACCAATTAGAACTTTTGGATGTTCACTAATGGAAAAAGCAGATAATCAGATCAAAGATAGAGACAATTTTTTGCCAATTTGTTTTATTTGGGTAATTTTTTCAAAGAAACACTTGCTAAAAATGGTAATGGTGCTTTAATTAACACAGTATATCTAGCGCACGCGTCCTCCACCCCCCCCCCCCCCCACACACACACACACACACACACACCTCAAGGCAGGCCAAGTGTTGAGCATGAACTCACCACCACACAAAAATGTTTACACTCTTTTTTAGTTTTCTGACCTTAATTTACGTGCTACATTGTTCAGTTTGGTATCAAATTGTTTGTAATAGTATGCTTTGAGAGAATATTTGCATATAAAAACATATGTCTCACTTTTCTATACTGTACTTTAGACCCGCCGCTCACTGCAAGATACGCCGTACCTTGCCTGAGAGCTCCCCACCACACAACAATGTTTATACTCTTTTCAGCTTTCTGACCTTAATTTTCATGCTACATCCTTCAATTTCATATCAAATTGTTTGCAATAGAATGTTCTAAAGGAATACAGTATTTGCATGTAAGAACAAATATTAGAACAATGTTACCAATACCGTAAGATAAAATACATTGTCATGTGAACAACACCAGCTTTCCTTCATTGTTTACAGTCATTATTCATTACCGACATTGTTTGTGACACTCTTATCATTCATTTTTGTGTTGCTTCCTTCATAAGTGTTTGTACCACAATATCATATGTATAAAAAAATTAATAAAAATATCTGTACTTGCCACCCAATGATGTTTGTAGAGCATGAGATGAACTTTAGATAGAACCCGGCTCCACCTGCTCCAGAAAAGGGCTTCCTGAAATTGCTCTACCGATGTTTTATAGGTTGAGAGGATGGTGGGTAAGCATTATCTCCTAGCCACCATGAATGTCCTCTTGCGATGGTACGAGCTATAGCACACAGTGCCATGCCACCCGACTTGTACTTATACCTGGTGTCCTTCCTTTTACGAGACTTGTAGCAGACACGACACCTCAGAGCTTTCTCGATGCAAATTAGTTCCTGTTCATACATTCAGGTTTATCAACAATACGAGGTTTTCTCCTAGCAGCAGGACCACTAGGAGTTGTCTGAAGTTTGTCTTCGGAGTCAGACGATGAATGTTCATTTCTAGGTGAAGAAAGTATGAGTGGCGGCCTCACACCTGATGGTCCGGGTGTTGCAAGTGTCACCAGTAGCACTGCTATCATCCTCATGTACATCACCAGCATGTATGATGATATGGTCATTGTTGAGAGGCCAGTCCTTATACTCAAACTTCACTAGTGACATCATGATTACTTTGTGGAACTGGAGGAATGTGAGTTTCTTGGTATCTGTTGTGTAGTACAGTACTCATATAACACAAAAGGCTGTGGCAGTCGTGAGCGGGGTCAAGAAAACAATGGGCCTCCAGCGTGGGTGGCCACCCACACTGCGGGGTGGGGATGCCACGTGGGATATACAGAGCATGGGAAGATATTAGAGCATATTTTAAAACAAGTCCCATAGTATTCGGACAGTAAATGTAAATGGAATTTTTACGAATTTTAAAAATTGTTGATGCCATTTGCATCATCAGGCCTACTCTATTTTGATTTTATGATGGAATATGTGGCATCGGGCTGCAAAAGTGTTAATACAGTATGTACCAATATAAAGGGGTGCAAGAAGAATCTGGGATGGGATAAAGCTGCATGAGAGGAGACTGGGATGGGAATGTGCACAGGAGGATTCTGGGATGGGATGAAGGTATACCTGGAGTGGGTTTTGGGAGTTGTTCTCCCCAAGCTTTCCCCCAAGACCAAGCCTGACTTGTGGATACAGTAATAGGATAAAGGTGCACAAGAGGATGCTGCGATATTAATAGAATGGAGGTTTCAGGGTTAGTATGAAAAGAAGCTGCTGTACATGGGAATACTTGGGCAATGTAAATTTAAATTACTTAATTCCATTGTTCCAAGTTTTTAAGGTAAATCTATAACAAAAACAAAATAGTATAAAAAAAAATATGAGCATCAGGTGGTACTATAAGATTGGATTGTCCTTAATTTGACAAGTACAGCATTAGTATATAGCATCAAGCACCAGTATCCAACAAAGACCCTTATTTTGAAATATTTTCAAGACTTCTTAATTCCAGCCTTTTTACATTTCAAAGTTAACTTTAACATTTGCTAAATATTGTTGTGCATATAATCTGTTATTGTAAAAAATAACTACACATACCTGCATGGTATATCTAAAAATGGTGAAGAATTAAACTATAAAGTAAAATATAAGGAAAACATTAGATTCTTAATTTTTAACTCCAATGTTTCCTGTCATTTCCAGAAACCCAATCAGAGCCTTCACCAAAGGGATGGCTAAACACAGGCAAGCCTCCTTTGCTTAGTACATTAATTACACAAATGGAAAAATGGAAGCACAATGTTAGGCAGGATATAATATTTATGTTATTTAATGGTAGCCGGTTGACTTAACATACAATTTGTACAGATCTTGTATAAGAGATTATCACATAGAACTTTTATTTCTTTGTGTTGCAGATAGATATCACAGTAGGAGGCCTTGATGCTGCTCCTCCACATATGCCAACATGGGAAGAGCTACAGGCTCGAGTATCTCGTCCATTGGTACGTCCTGTGTGGATAGTGAGGCCAAATCCACCACCACCTGATGAGGAAGAAGAAGAAGAGGAAGAAGATGAAGAAAGTGGTAGTGATGGGGAGAGTCGTCCAGCTGCACGTGAACTTATACCACCAGCAATGAATCGGGCAGTAATGCTTCCGGTGTTCCAGCGCTTATCTGTAAGAGATTTGAAGGCAGTGATGCAAGTTTGTAGAACTTGGGCACAGTGGGCAATTAACCCATCTTTATGGAAAACTATCAATCTATCACACAAAAGAGTTGGTTTCTATCAGTTAGAGGGTATAGTTAGGCGCCAACCTTGCTGTCTAGATTTAAGTTGGGCACGAGTGACTGCTGAGCAGCTAGCATGGCTTTTAGCTCGGCTTCCTCAGCTTAAGGAGTTGCATCTGGAGGGTCAAGGATGGGAAGTGATATCATGTCTTACCTCTCCTTACTGCCCAGCTTTATCAAAACTTAATTTGTCTTACTGTGAAGGACTAACTGACACTACATTGACAACTTTGCTTTCTGCCCCAAGAACACACCGTCCAGGTCACCGTGACACAACTACACGACTCCGCCAACTAACGGATCTGTATTTAGCAGGAACACAAGTTGGGGATGAAGGAGTTCGAGCCATTGTGCGCTCTCTTCCATTTCTTAGTACTCTAGATTTGAGCAGTTGCTTACGTGTAACAGAGCTAAGTGCAGCTTTACTAGCTCATCCTTCCAGTGTTGTTAGTCATTCTATATCATCACTGGATTTGAGGGGTTGCCACCGTCTGGCTCCCACATGCCTACCATCCCTCACCTGTCTGCCTCTTCTGACTCGTTTAGCACTACACCCCTGTTCCCGCATTCCACTTCCAGCACTTCGTGTATGGGGAAAATCTCACGATTATACACTTGGACCAGAGAATATCTTAACAAGGGCACCTCCACCACCACCTGATCCTGCAGGAGACCCTTCTTCAGAATCAGATACGTCATCTCACTCAAGATCATCCTCTCCAGAAGTTGCCCTAACAACACAAGAGATTACAAAACTCTCACCAGGTAACCAAAACACAAAGAAAGAATCAATATGTCCTCTTAAACTGGTTTCTGATGAAAACGATAGCAAAAAGAATGATGAATATTTAGAAGAAATCAAGAAAGGATATTCAGTCCCAAATAAGAACTCCAACCAGGAATCAAATTCAAAATTTAATGTGATACCTTCAGGCAAAACAAAGAATGCTGCAAGCTCATTAAGTAAAAAGAACCTGGATAAAATGGAAGATTCAAATCAAAAGGAAACTAATGAGGTAGATAGTTCCAAACAGAAAAATGTAAATGATAAGCACACATTAGAAAGTCCTCAAAGTAAAAGTATGGAACAGAAAGGTGAAACAGATTCTGCTTTGAGTGAAAATGTGCGAGTCTCGACAAGAAGGCAGAGCCGCCTGCAGGAGTCCGATGAAATTGGAAGCTCTGTTTTACAAATCAGGAAAAAGAATACAGGTCTACCTGAGCACATCAATAAAACTAATGCACCTTTAGAAATCAGTAAGAAGAATACTGCTGCTTCAGATAATGTTAACAAAAAGCCTGTTATATCCTCAGAACAGGATCTTAAATGTAGTTTATCTGAGCAGGTAAATGAGAGGAAATCCCTTGAGCATATTTCCAAAAAGAACACCTCACCGACTCGACAAGTCTCCAAAAAGAACACCTCACCAACTCGACAAGTTTCCAAAAAGAATACCTCACCAACTCGACAAGTCTCCAAAAAGAATACCTCTCCAACTCAACAAGTCTCCAAAAAGAATACCTCTCCAACTCAACAAGTCTCCAAAAAGAATACCTCTCCAACTCAACAAGTCTCCAAAAAGAATACCTCCCCAACTCAACAAGTCTCCAAAAAGAATACCTCCCCAACTCAACAAGTCTCCAAAAAAAATACCTCTCCAACTCACCAAGTCTCCAAAAAGAATACTTCTCCAACTCACCAAGTCTCCAAAAAGAAGAATATGAAGTCACTTCCAGAACAATTAAACAAAAAGAATACAACTCCTGAGCAGAAACCTAAAAAGAATACATTACTGCCTGACCAAACCTGTAAAAAGAATTTTTCATCACTGGATGAAAGTTCTGAACAGAATATATTATCTGAACAGCTAACCAAAGCTAATTCATCAGATGAACTGTGCTCCAAAAAGAATTCACTGGCTGAACAAGTTTGCAAAACAAATTCTTCACCTGCACAACGTAATGAAAATAATTCATCTGAACCAATTACCAAGAATGTATCACTTCCAGAACAGATTGGTAAAACTGATCAAGGTTACCTAAAGAATTTCTCACCTGAACAGAGTTCTAAAAAGAATTTGCCTGAACAAGGTTCCAAAAAGAATTTGACACCTGACCAGAGTTCCAAAAAGAATTTGGCACCTGAACAGGATTCCAAAAAGAGTTCACTATTGGAACAGGGTTCTAAAAAGAATTTACCACTTGAACAGAGTTCCAAAAAGAACATGTTGCCTGAACAGGGTTTGAAGAAGAATTTGGCCCCTGAACAGTGTTCCAAAAAGAATTTACCCCCAGAACAGGGTTCCAAAAAGAATTTGTCACCTGAACAGGATTCCAAAAGGAATTTATCTGAACAGGGCTCTAAAAAGAATTTTCCGCCTGAACAGAGTTCCAACAAGAATGTGTCACCTGAACAGGATACCAACAAGAATTCGTCACCTGAACAGGGTTCCAACAAGAAGTCGTCACCAGAACAGAGTTCCAACAAGAAGACGTCACCTGAACAGGATTCCAACAAGAAGACGTCACCTGAACAGGATTCCAACAAGAATTTGTCACCTGAACAGAGTTCCAACAAGAAGTCGTTACCAGAACAGAGTTCCAACAAGAATGTGTCACCTGAACAGGATTCCAACAAAAATTTGTCACCTGAACAGGGTTCCAACAAGAAGTTGTCACCTGAACAGGATTCCAACAAGAATTCATCACCAGAACAGGGTTCCAACAAGAATTCATCACCAGAACAGGGTTCCAACAAGAATTCATCACCAGAACAGGGTTCCAACAAGAGGTTATCACTAGAACAAGGTTCCAACAAGATGTCACCTGAACAGGGATCCAACAAGAACTCATCACCAGAACAGAGTTGCAACAAGAAGTCGTCATCTGAACAGGGTTCCAACAGAAAGTCATTACCTGAACAGGGTTCCAACAAAAAGACGTCACCTGAACAGGGTTCCAACAAGAAGACGTCACCTGAACAGGGTTCCAACAAAAAGACGTCACCTGAACAGGGTTCCAACAAGAAGACGTCACCTGAACAGGGTTCCAACAAGAAGGCGTCACCTGAACAGGGTTCCAACAAGAAGACGTCACCTGAACAGGGTTCCAACAAGAAGACGTCACCTGAACAGGGTTCCAACAAGAAGTCGTCACCTGAACAGGGTTCCAACAAGAAGACATCACCTGAACAGGGTTCCAACAAGAAGACGTCACCTGAACAGAGTTCCAACAAGAAGTCGTCACCTGAACAGGGTTCCAACAAGAAGTCGTCACTTGAACAGGGTTCCAACAAGAAGTCGTCACCTGAACAGGGTTCCAACAAGAAGTCGTCACCTGAACAGGGTTCCAACAAGAAGTCGTCACCTGAACAGGGTTCCAACAAGAAGTCGTCACCTGAACAGGGTTCCAACAAGAAGTCATCACCTGAACAGGGTTCCAACAAGAAGTCATCACCTGAACAGGGTTCCAACAAGAAGTCGTCACCTGAACAGGGTTCCATAAGGAATTTATCATCTGATCAGGGTTCCAAAGAGAACTTGCTACCAGAAGAGAATTCTAAAGAGCATTCATTACCTGTACAAGGTTCAAAAAAGAATTCACAACCTGAAGAGGGCTCTAAAGTATGTTCATCACCTGAACAGGGATCTAAAAATAATTTATCCCCTGAACAGAGGGAGAAAAAGAATTTAACACCTGAGCAAGAATCAATAAAGAATCCATTACTAGAACAGGATTCCAGAAGGAACTCATCACCTGTGCAGGGTTCTAAAAAGATTACGGAATCATCTACTTTAGTTACGAAAAGCACACCACCACCTGAAAAGTTGGCCAAAAAGAACTCTGTGTCCTTTGACAAAAACAACAAAACTGAGCAAGATGGGAGTCCTACATTGTTTACCGAGGTAATCATAAAGAATACTTTATCAGCAGAACAACCCAGCAAGACTTGTACAGAACAAACTTGTAAGAAGGGTGATGCACCATCAGAACAAGAAAGCTTAAGAAGACCAGTTGATAAGAAAAGTCCATCTGGATCTCAGTTAACTAAGGCTTCTGAACTACAGATTAACCATAAAAATGTCATCATTACAGCTGTTGAAGTACATCGTGCAGATACATATGAAGGTAAGGCAGGTCAAGATGCTTTAGTGAAGCGGCCTGAAAGAAGACAAAGTGTGAGAAGGTCAAAAGATGAACAAGAGCTAAGAGCTGACGAGAAAAAAGAAAAGAATGACCGAACAGAAACTGAATCGCCAAAAGATAAACGAAAAGACCAAAAATCTAGGGAAGAGGAAATGAATAAAATTACAGTTGAAGATTGCAGTGAAAAAGACACTAAACAGCAGAGCCCCAAAAAGATGGATGAGAAAGATAAAAAACAGAGTGCAGCTAGCAAAAGACTTCAGGAATCCTCACCTCGTGTTAAACAGGAAAAGGATATAGTTACTAGATCTACAAAAAGACTTAAGAGTGATAAAATAATTGATGAAAAACAAAATGAGGTGGTAAAGGAGGAACTACAAAAGTCTAATGAAAGCTCAGTAGACATACGGAAAGTCTCAAGGAGAGGCAAAGAATTGAAAGATGATAAAGAGGATATTGTGGTAGAAGAAGCACAGAAGAGAGATATCAAGCTATCAAGACCAGCTAGTGGAAGGAAAGATAAAGAGACACTAGCTAGCAAGGCTAATGAAAAGAAAGAGGATGACCAAAAATTATCTAAAAGGAGTCGTCCTGACACAGAAGAGTACATGTCAAAACTTCGTAGAAAATCCAATGAAGGAGATGGCTCCAGCGATTCCTCAGTTGTTGAAAGTCTTAAAAAAGATGAAAGTAACGATGAGAGGATGAAATATAGAAGAAGATCAGTCCGGGAAGATGAAACTGCAAAAGCTCTGCAAGAAAAAAAGCAGAAGGAAGATCCTAAAGAAGAAAAAAATAAAGCATCACAGTCTCCTAATGAACAACCAGAACCCACAGCAAAGCAAAATAAAAGTGAAATGCAGGATGTGAGCACTAAACAACAAAAACGGAAAAATGAAGAAGGAGAAGATACAAGTAACAAAAAGAGTAAGGATGAAAGTGAAGACAGTGGTAAGCCAGTAAAGAAAACGTTAGAAATAACCCGTGAGAGGTCAGGAAGCAGAGAGAGACCAGAAAGAGCTCATAGATCTCCTAGAAGACTCTCCATGTGTCAGTGATTTTTTTTTTGTATAAATGATATATTTAGATGTGATCCATGTATTTTTAACTATCCCAAATTTGTTCGTGATTGTTAAAATTAAATACATTATACAAAATTGTGATACAGTTTCATAGAATTATTGTAGGGTGTCTGTTTTATATTTCTGAATTAAATGCACAAGAAATGTACAGTACTGTAAATAAATGTCATGTATATACACAAAATAATTGTTTTGCATGAAAGAAAAAGTATGCTTTATAAGTAATACTTTTTATTGAATCTAGCCATTTTATATATATAAAAAAAAATGCTACATTTTTTAACAATATAATTTTTTAAAAATATTTTTAAATCATGAATGCCATTGTAAATAGTTCTTTGTGCTATTTTGCATTATATATGGCTTTCTATAATTAAATGGCAATGACATAGAACTGAACATATTGTAAATGGAAATGATTGAAAATGTTTTACTTCCCTTGAAATATATAAATCATGGTAAAGAATGGAAATCAGGCATTCATTTCATAAGAGATTAAAAAAAGGCAACTTTTATACAACACATTTTTTTTTGTATATCCAAGAGTACAAATTTGTACTAGAGTAATGTACTGGACAGTCGTCTGACTAAATTATTTTTACTACATTATATTAATGCAATATTTTAACAAATATTACTTTGATATTTATGTACTTAGTGACTTTATTGAAATACCAATGTGAGCATCAAGAATGTTTAGCCATTGAAACTTTACCCTGTGAAGGGTAAACTGGTATACAGTACTTTGTTGTAAACCTAATTAACATTTATGAGGATGAATAATGCATGTTATCAAAAGGAAGAGAAACACCTTATTATCCTTATTCATCATAATAAACTTCTATGCACAAGGGAATATAAAGAGAATAAGAAGAGAAAAAAGCCAACTTCTCTGATTTTATTTTTTTTACTATTAAAATGAGATGCGTTTTTAATAGAGTAAACATGTTCTGCATATACAGAATAGCGATTGCTCATTGTGGAAAATAACCCGCTTTAACCACATAAAACATTCTTTCCTGTCTGAAATATATCACTAAAGTATCTGGATTATCCTTCAAATTTGGCATCTTGACAATTACAAATCCCCGTTTAAATATAAAGTCTTCCCAGGTTTACTAACATAAGAGCGTTATCAAAGATATTTAGCTATATCAGAGCATAAACAGATCTGCTTGAAATACTCAACTATTGTATATACAAATATTTTAAAATGGTATCTGAAACATACCAGCTCTTTCCAACTGTCCAGTACAATTATCTTGTTATATTTGTATTAATTTGAACTCAATCCTTACTCTTTTTTTTTTTGTAGATTTTAGTGATTTTGGGTAAAAATAAACAAGTTTTATTAATGCAAACATTGAATGGGTATTTTGACATTTAAATCATTAAAAACATAAATTACAATATAAAAATATAACACTTTTATGTTTATCCCAATGCAAGGCCAAATTAGGAAAAATCTTCCCTCCAAGGAATTAAGTAACCCCTATAAATGATACAATACAAGTAACTATAATTGGATGGAGTTTTGACCAACACATCCACAAAACTGTTCCACTGGGAAAACACTAGCATTGATTTTTTTTTTTACATTATAATCTTTATCACAACACATCATAAGAGTATTTTAATATTTTACATAGAGTAAAATAATTCTTGGTTACAGAATACACTTATTTTCTCTATATAAAGATATTAACATTATACAGGTATACTCTCACCCTAATACATTCCTGCATAGTATAGAATGACAACTGTACTACTGTATATAACTCAGAATCTGAACATGGCAGCTCATATGCTTTCAGTACATTTAATTAATTTATTTTTGCTGTGCTTATAATTTGTTTGCTATGCTTTTATAATACGTTCACAGATCAATGTTCACAAAAATAGTTTTTATACTACCATTTATTTACCTTTCAATGAACCACAATACTGTACGTGTAATAACATCGCAGTCTCGGCCTGCTCCTGCCAACGTATCTAATACTTAACAATTTTAAATTTTAAAGAACTCAAATTATGAACATATGGGAATATGAAATTTTCAAAATATTTAGTATTGAATTAAAAAGCAAAATATAATAAATTATGATAATACACAAATTTTTCTAGCACAGGTGTGCTTAATTGCACCACTTGCAACTTACTTGTTAATCTAACTCAATTGCCAACAGGCCTAATAAATTGCATAGCCTATGGACAAACAAAACAGTATCACACAGTATGTAGATGACAAACATGCCTCTACCATGATTTACATCATCATAAGGGTATGCTTTACTACATGTTCAAGTTGAACAATACATAAATTTACTTCCAAAACTGCATTTCTATAGCTTATACAGAAAAATGTACAACTAGTAGATTACTTAAATACTTATAATACAAATGTTCATATTTTTTATATAGTATTTACTACAGATAAATAAACTGGTATTAAACTATAAGTTAAAGAAACAGCATTGGTGAACAAATAACTCAACATACTGAAGGAATAAGCTCAATTGTCTTAATATTACTGTGGTTTAATATTCAAGCTGCCTCAGTATATGCCATGAATTAAATTATCATAAGTACAAAGACATTTCCTCACATAACTTCAACCCTGCTGAAGAGCCTCTCCCACAGCTTTAAATGTACTACCATTAAGGTAGAAAATAAATGGAAATGTCATATGTACAGCATTAGTTCTCCCTGTTCATACTGATATTGCTCTGTAATACTAGATCAGTATATCAAATTCATATAAAAGACTAGACCTGGGCACTGGAGGAAAAAAACTTTGGTTATGATGAATGAAGTAATAATCATCACACAGATAGAATTGTACTCTGCTGTTGTCATTGTAAACTGTAAGATTACAATACCTTTACCACCTCAGTTCGACATCACCAAGGACTGGCAAACCCATAAAGAAAATAGAGCAATATGTACCACAAACCTTGAAAGCTTGGGAGTTGTCTGTCAGAAGGGCTGACTAGTCCTTTGGTGATATGTTATAGGTATGTCTAATGAATGAAACATCCAAAATGTCAAGCAAATAATCTGAATATAGTCGATATTAACAAATGGTGCAGTTAAGATTCTGGGTATATTCATTATTGTTATAATAATTTAGATGGATAACAATACTGTACTTAATAACTAGTAATACCTCTTGTCTGAAGTGTGGGAGTCATCGATTATAACATCACTCTACCTAGTACTTTACTACCATGAATGATGATAGGTAGAGATTCACATCTATTCGGTTGAATTGAACTAAGTTGTATATGGAGCTTGGGTAATGTAGAAGTTCTATAACAAATGAAGCAGTGTTTCTTCATGCATTTCCAACTAGCAAGAACTGTGCACAGGTGTGTTTGTACAAATATCAAAGTGCTGTAATTATCAAAATAGAGGATTAAGCCAGTATGACTATATAGTACTATGCAAAACACAGATAATTCAAAATTTCCAAGACAATTCTCAGGATGCCTATACAGGAGTAGAACAAGATTTGAAGGAGTCACATTATTGAAGATTTTATCAAGAGGCATGTGGTGTAGATGGACAGCTGGAAATCACATTTTCTGATCCTAAAAATCAGACAAGACATTATACTAGATGTATAACTAGGTGGAAGTATGCAATATGAACAGTAAAGGAAAGTTTCCAATTCATTATATGTCCAGGAATCAACCTTGTGTAGCAGGCACGTGCTGAGCCAAAGGACATTTCCTCTCTTCCTATTACAGTTCTAGAAGGGGCAAGGGAACTGATCACAGTTTATGGCATATCATATATTACTGGTTGTAGCTAGCCATCTTTCCCTTCAATTTTTACACATAGCATTATGAATGACAGGGTAGAAACCCAAATAGGAAATGGGTTTTTGGTGCTGGGACAGTGTGTGTAAACTGGCACAGGAACACGTCACCTCCACCACTCACCAACATGATGCAACCTACCCCATATACCCTGCAATTAAAAGGAAGCAGACTGGGCTGGGAATCAATCATCTATATGTTCTCTCTAAAAGCTAATACCTCCCTCACTCCATGAGAGTGGGAAACAGGGTAATGATTATATGACCATAAAGTAAAAAATGAAAGTACTCCACATCCTACAGTGTCACACATTCTACTCTGGTTAGTAATACACAGCAAACTATATGATCCAAAGTAAGGTTATTGAATAAAGACAAAACTATCATTTTGGACAGGAGCCAATATTATGTGAAAATGCCAAATATGACAAACAATTAAAATATGACATTTGTGCTACTTGTCTATTTAAGCATACTAAAGCAAGTTTAATACTATCTCAACTAAAATGGAAAAAAATTCAACCCTAGATAAAGCAAAGCATAGTTCATATGAAGAAGCCAATATAGTCATTTCTCAGACAAGCTCAGGAGACTAGTTCATATAGCAATGTAATGCAGTCCTCGCTAGGTCTAAACCTTCTCGGCAGTCTTGTACAGTATTATCAATCATCGATACAAATGAACATATTCCATGTAAGGTACTGCAGTTTATGTATACTAGGAGCTTAATACGGTATACAAACATTATCGAGCTAAAGTTGCAAGAACCACATAAAATGCAAGAGTTTGCGAAGATGGCAAATTAAGCTAAAGAGAAAGTAAGTGAAATAGCGAGGAATCCCCCCCCTCAAAATTGTATCCTATGCAAAATCTAAAACAAAAACTATCATGCATTGGGCCCTTACGCAAGGGGAATGGAATTTTCAAAGATGACGACAAAGAAATAACTGAAATACTGAGGCTACAGTACAATTCTGTTTTCAGTGAACCACTGAACACATTAAAGATCAGTGATACAAACAAATTCTTCATAAATGTGATGATGCCATCGAATCATTTATCAGAGGTCACCCTAATCCCACAGGATTTTGAAGTGGCCATAAAGTGCATGCCCGTGCACTCTGCACCAAGCCCAAATCCTGGAATTCTATATTCATCAAGAATTGCGAGAAAACCACTATCACAGGCCATAAACATTTTTAGAGAATGAGCCTAGATACTGGAGTTATCCACAACATACTTATATAGAGATCATGTCATTTCACAAAGGAAATAGTAAAGCAGATGTAAACAAAATTATAGACCAATAGTTCTAACATCACACATCATAAAAATCTTTGAAAGAGTGCTAAGAAGTGAGATCACAAAACACATGGCATCAATGTCTACATAAGCATGAGCAACGCGGGTTCAGAACAGGGCACTCCTTCCTCTCACAGTTGCTAGCCCACTATGACATGGCCTTAGATGCCTTGGAAGACGAGCAACAGGCTGATGTATAAAAAACACAATATAGTAGCTGTCACAGATTTTAAAAAAGCTTTCAACAAATGTGACCATGGTGTTATTGCACACAAAAGGCAAAATGGCAAAATAAGAGAGATTTCTTTAACTTCCTAACATAACCCAGAGTGTAGTAGTCAACAAAGTAAAATCTAGATCCTCCACTGTTAAAAGTGCCCAAGGTACTGTGCATGCCCCAGTACTTATTCTCACCCTCATATAGACAAGGATACAAACTATAGCACTTTATCATCCTTTACTGATGACACTGGGATTTTCATAAGAGAGTAAACAATATAGAGGACACAGCAAACCTCCAATCTGATGTTAATCAAAACATTCAATGGGCCACAGAAAATAATATGATGTTTAATGAGAATAAGTTCCAATTACTGTGTCATATGAAATAAAATTAAAATACCAAACAGAAACCACATAAAAATACATGCTGTAATACTAGCATCGCTAAATAGTCGCAATTACATATATATTTGACATTTTTAGGTGATGCTGTGGTCACAAGCTGAACAGCAGAGCTGTTAGCTCATGCTGCGTGCACCAACCTTGGTTGCTCACTCAGTGCTGAGGCTCTCACACCTGGGAATGTTACCCATGATTTTTTTTAAGATGGCGTCTGTTTACAGGAATCCTGAGACACAGGATGTGAGCCCCATGTACCCGCAGGAGTTTTGAATCCTACTCTATACTGTACCTACAGTCGCCACGAGGCACTCTGCGTAGTTCGGTGGTTAAGCTGGATGGACGGATGGATGAAGAAGTTTTCAAATGAGATCAATATTAAAATCTTGCTATTTCCAGTTAGAGGGGCAAAACTATATAAAATAATTTGCAATAATACCGAGTACTATTACAACTTGCAATGATAATTACGCTTCACATGGGCTGCCTTAAAATAATAATTCCTATAATGTGTTAGCATGTTGAACCAAATGGAGAAGTTGACTAAATTTTTAGTCCAGTTTCATGTTAAAAACTCCTACACAAAATAAAAAAAATTCAGACAAACGTCAATAGCCTCGTGTCAAGGAGTCTTGTCTTTTGCATGAAAGCAATGTTAATTTCGAACTGATATAAAGACAAACAAATGTGTGGGAAATGTCCTGCATTTTACACTGCTTTAAATGTGAGAACTATCATATTATACACATAAATATGGGAATAATATTCCACATAATTTTATCTTGCTCTGTTAAATTATCATAAGACAGTGCTAAGCCACTATGGCTCTGCTCTGTTTCCATATATATTAACTAACTGAAATTTTATTGCATAAAATTTTATTTCTTAATAAATATAGAAAAATATAACATTTTAATTACACAAATAATATTAAATAATATTTGAATTACCGGTAATCACAAGTACAGTACTGTAATTAGCAAGCAAATAAACAGGGCATGCAGTAATAATAATTTGTTCAAGGTCTAACCAGATCTCATATATACAAACTGGACTTCCTATAAAAGAAAAACTACTTGCAACACCAAATCATGAGAATAATAATATTGAGTAGTATTTTGCACTGAGTTTCTCAACTCTGCCTTTGAGAACACTCTCCTCATAACAAAATCTTACCTACCAGGACTTCTTTTCCCAATTTGGTACAAGCACTTGGTGCTTCCTCCATAATAAATCTTCTTAATATGAAACTTGGTTATACAACTGGAAATAATCAACAAAGCAATTTACTTTACTACAATAATACATCATGAAGATACAGTAATAAATGTTAAGAAGAGAATTCTGCAAGGTGCAGGAGTCAGCGATACGAACAATCTAAATGCCCTGGTGAGTAATTGCCGAGAAGCAATACTGTGCCAATTTGTAAGATGCCTCCAAAAAATGAGTAACATATGGTCAAACTTATCTGTTTATAATTAAAGCCAAAGTTGCACTATGAATATATCTAACAGAAATGAGAGCCACTCACAATATCACACTGAGTAGTATTGAAGGACTCGAGAGAGAGAGTACTGGGCAAGGAATGTATGCTGAAAGAGAGCGCGGGGAGATGGGAAAGGATGTTATTGCTGCCAAGATACATGGGTCAAATTTGTACACAAAATTCTGCTATGACAGAGAAAATAAGGCAAGAGAAAATGTCAGTGAGCTTCATGACAATGACACGGGCATGAAAGAAATATAAACAGTTATTAAATTGTTGAGAAGCTTATAATACAATACATGAAGATATATGGGAGAAGTACACAGCATAGACGAATTACACTGACGTATGACCAAATTATGCAAAATATCTTTAAAATGTTGATTCTAACAGGAATGACTGGCGAGTCATTTGCAGTAAATATCTTAAGCATGAAGGAAGAATAAATAGAATAAGTACTTATAAGGAGGAGGAACTAAGCCAGAACATGTAAAGCTATATTGCACTGGAGAATTAATTGAGACCTGATCTACTACAAGACAATGTGAAGAACTTTACATTACTGCAAGACCTGAAAATGTGTTTATTTCATAAGTGAGGCTTCATATATTAATTAAAAAATACACACCAACTCTTTATGACATCATATATTGAAGAGCTGTGTAAAGTATAAAAAGACAATTATACCATTTTATAATTGTACAAATTTCTTTCAACACTTTGCTGTGGAAGCTCTTACAAATAATCAGTAATTTGCACAAGGCTGTACATTTACAACGTTCTTTAAAGCTGTTTTGAATACCTTACCCACACACCAGTCTAGCGTCTATACCCACCTCTGTAACCACCTCGATATCCACCACCACCTCCGCCACCACCACCACCACTACCACCAGTGCCTCCAGTGCCTCCACCAGCACTACCACCACCACCTCCTCCACTATATCCATACCCATTCCCATAGTTTCTTCCAAAGGGATGATGGAAGGGTGAATGAAGTGCTCCAATATGTGAGGGGTGAAGAGGGTGTCGAGGTGGTGGTGGTCCCTGTGGTTCGTGCATCATCGGGGGACCACCACTACCCACCATGTATGTATTGGATCCTTTATAATTACCACCCCCATTACTGTTGCCTCCTCCACTATTCTTATCCCAAAGTCGAATTAACTGTTCTCCAATGTTCACCTCCACTTCCTGGAAATAACCAAAATTATTTAAAATTAAACAGATTCCATTATTTAACTATAACTATTATATAACCATTTTTTACTAAGTTATATAATATAACTTAATAGAAAATTAATTCACAGCATTGTAGTAATTTTCATAATGAATATATAGTTCAATTTAAAACTAATAAATTCTTAAAACAACACTACACAAGTGTTGATATTCACAGTTTTGAACGTTTATGATAACTCTGAACATTCTACCTTGCTTGTGAGCCCCAAATACTAGTCACACTTATTTGTTTTTTATGACTGCTATATATTAACAAGACTTCATTATTTTGTTTTTCATTAGAGGTAACAAGTTTTGTATGTAGATATACTGGTGTAGTATACAGGGTATAGACGGTGTTGAGCTTGTGTGATTACTTTGATGTCTTGTGGATGCCTACCTGCCCATCCCTGCTCATGTGGACTTGCATGTTGTCGTTGTACGGATTGTACAGCCTTCTGGTCTGGTGGAAGCCTATGTTCCATTTCTTCATCCACTCTATCTGTAATGACAAATAATTTTCAGATTTTGAATGATCATGAAAAGATTCTCTTTGATTAGGCTGCTTTGATGGTTCCTAAGGTATAATCATTCCTGTGCCCAATGGAGCACATCTTGCAAGTCAGAGTAGGGTGATATTCTGCTCTTGCACAACATTTTTTTTTCAAATGTCCTCTGTCGAGACATTTTGACAGGATACCTGTTGAGGCATTGCTTAATTTTATCCTGCCCAGCCTCTCATGGTCCACTCCTAGGATGAAGGATGATATTTGTGTTTCTGTTTCTTATGTCTCTTATTATAAATCCCTGAATCCTGTCACCTTTATTTTGTGCACAGATGAATTGTTAAGCATAGCTTCTAAGTCTTTTCTCACAATTTGATCTTACCATGACAATTATTAATATGATACTGTATATAGAATTGTTTGTTTTTTGATGACAAGAAATTTGCATTTCTCAATGTTAGACTGTGGCTGCCATTTTTACACTTAATTTTTCTTTACAGTTTAATAGCCTTCTTTTGTATCAAGTGTTCGCACTACCTTTGCATCATCCATAAATTTGCTGATATTATTGGCCAATAAAAATGTTGAATGGTAAATATTGTATTTATAATAACTATTACACAACAAATGCATCTTTCAAAGCTTATTTAGGCAATCCCAGCATATATATACAGTACATTGAAATTCATGCAAAAATCTGTAAACAACCATGAAAAGTTGGCATATACAGAACAAAAACACTGATGTAGACAGTGAGGAAGAGAGAAAATGTCTGCTAGCTCAGTATGGCTTCAAATAATGCACATCGGAGATAAGGAAAATTTTTTAGGAGGGCTACCTGTTAGGTCATTAGTTTCATCATGTTACCCAAGCAGTCTTGCTGTATCTATGATGACCAAACCACACCAGAAGATGAAGAAACAATGATGTTTCGGTCTATCCTGGACCATTACCAAGTTATATGTGTCACACATACATACTGTATGTATACAAGTCACACGCAACTTGATGATGATCCAGGACGGACCCAAATGTCGTCGTTTCTTCGGTGTGCGGTTTGGTCATCATATCTTCAGCCACGTTATTGTGACTCAACATCTTGCTGTGTCAAGCCTGCCTGACAGTGCTTCATTCAGTGTCTTTGTTTAATTTATTGGTATAAATATGTAGGCTATAGGATGCAAGCCACAGGATATGGACCCAGTGATATTCACACAATTTAAAAAGAAATAATTCATACCTTATAAAGTGGTCCAAGTGTGGGTCCAACATTGGTAATATCAGGACATTTTTCGTCAGTTTTCTCCCCCGTAAAGCGAGCATAACCATTAAACTGTCCTCCTCTATGTAAAGTAAACACCAAAATGACAGAGCCAGTCTGTGAAGTGGAAAAAAATATAATCAAATTATAGTCAATCCCGGTACATAGCTGTCTATACAAAACTAACAATAGAGAATGCATCCTAAAATGTTATGCAGGCACCTTCGATCTGTGTATTAGTATTGGAGACAGCAGATTCAGTGTTAGGCAACTATGATGGTAAGCAATTGTATACTGTAAATTCTGTTGTTAATGCAGGTTATCCCCTTCAACACAAAGGAGCTTTCTGAAGGTTGCACAAAACCTATGTTAAGACCCATCCTTGAGTAGGTAGCACTGGCATGGAACTTGGAAAAGGGACAAAGTTATGTAATTACCTAAGTGTAATTACCTAAGTGTAGTTACAGGATGAGAGCTACGCTCGTGGTGTCCCGTCTTCTCAGTACTCTTTGTCATATAACGCTTTGAAACTACTGACGGTCTTGGCCTCCACCATATTCTCACCTAACTTGTAGACGGTTGGAACAAGTTCCAAGTGAGAAGGTGATGGAGGCCAAGACCGTCCCTTCCCATCACTCCAATTTGCTTTGGCTTCAAACTAATTTCTGATTCTCATGGGTTCCCTACCCAAGGGAAGGAGCAGAGGAAATTTGGCAAGAGCCCTAGTCAGTGATGGGTAGTGTTTCAAGGGTGTCTGGAATAGCTAGACCATCTAGTGTCATCCAGTGTGCAGGCAGAGGGGAATTATAGAGCCAGAAAGTCATTCCATTTCACTTGATACTCTCTCTCTTTCTCAGACTGATTCTTCAACACAGTATTCGATGTATTTAATAATGAAGAACAACACACCAATATCCTAATTTATTTTCCCATTGGACAACATAATTATAGCTCTAAATACAGTACCAAAACAAAAAATATTATGGTATATCTCACTAAATGCAATAATGAATATTTTCACTTGCATGTGAACACATTTCATATTCAATCCACAGATTTCTAAATCAATCAGTTTCATATGATGTCCATGTCTCACTTTTATAAGCCAAAGTCCTTAGTTGTGTGCAACCTCTAATCCCTTATTCACACCTAAGGTTAAATTTGTTCTTTTCATTATCATTTTCAAGGATTCAATAATTTACTATTCTCGTCTTTGTTCATTGTTAACATAAAGGAAAACTTTACAAAACTCAAACCATACCTGAAAGGCTTGAATGATTTTCTTTTCGGTGTTGTGAGTGAAGGCCCACAAAGATGTATGATGAGAGGCTTCCAGCTGCTTATACATAGAAGCCTTGATAATGAAGTACCGTGACTTTCCACAGCTGCTTCCTCCTTCAGCACCACCACAGCTGCTGCTGCTGCTGCTCGTCTTATTGTTATAATTTGCTGACAAATTTGAGAATTTTGATTAGAAAAATGAATAAAAGTAAAAAAAAATTCCTTCAATTATATCTATAAATGAAAGACAAACATTGTAAAAGTACAGTAATAACAATTGAAAATGGAACTCATGACAATAGTTATTTACAAAACACTGAGAATATTGCTGCATCAAATACCTTTAATACCATGCATGAATATAAAATTACCATATATTAGTTCATCTCACCTTTGGAATCTTTATTTATTTGCTTAGTTCCTCCAATAGCATTGCCTCCTCCACTACTGACAGAGATGGTTGTTTTGGGTGGAGTCGATGCTGATGATGGAGTTGCTACGGAAGTTTTGTTGGCACTGGAAGTGGCTTGAGATAAGTTATTGCTGATGAAAGTGTTCGTGTTTGCTGTGGGGTTAACAATACTACTGGTACTAATGCTAGGAAATGATCTGTAGGAAGTGGTTATAATTGTGCTGGCTGTGGTGTTTAAGTTAGATTTCATGCCCGTGTTAGATGTAAAGATGTTCGAGGCAGCATGACCTGTGCTGGAAAATCCTCCACAAGCAGTACTGGAGGGAAACATTGCGGATGAACTGGTATTAGGAAAGCCACTGGCTGTGTTGCTGGGACCAGAAGGACTTGTCACTGACACTGTTCCTGTTGATCCAGTCTTGGTGACTGTGCTTGTGCTGGTTGAAAACTTTGCTGAAGGATGTGTGCCTACAGGAGGGGTAGCTGCGTCACTGGTTCGCCGTGATGACGATCGACTAGACTGAGAGTCTTCAGAAGTTCCACCAGACCATCCACCCTCTGTAAAAATAAGGATTTGAGTAAATAGGAAAAGTACCTTTCTGAACACATTCTTTCATTTGAGTGAGTGTGAGTGCGAGTGTGAGAGTGAGTACTCGCCTAGTTGTGCTTGTGGGGGTTGAGCTTCGACTCTTTGATCTCGCCTCTCAACTGTTAATCAACTGGTAATTACCTAAGCTGTAATTACCTAAGTGTAGTTACAGGATGAGAGCTACGCTTGTGGTGTCCCATCTTCCCAGTACTCTGTCATTTAATGCTTTGAAGCTACTGACAGTTTTGGCCTTCACCACCACCTCACTTATCTGGTAACTTACTCCATCCATCTACCACTCTATTTGCAAAAGAAAATGTTCTAATATTTTTCGGCATCTTTGTTTCCTTAGCATGAATCTGTGACCTCATGTTCTTGAAGTTGTTGGCTTCAGGAATACTCTGTCAATTTGGAAGATTCCTGTTATTATTTTGTAAGTAGTGATCATATCTATTTCTTTTATCTTCTAGCTTTAGCATATATAATGCTTCTACCCTATATTTGTAACTTGTTTCTCAGTTCTGGAGGCCGTTTTGTAGCATGCCTTTATGCCTTTTCCAGTTCATTGATGTGCTTCTTGAGATTTGGGCACCATAGAACTGCTTCATATTCCAATTTTGATCTTACAAAAGTCATGAACAGTTTCTTTAGTATTTTACCATCCATGTAATTAAAAGCAAGTCTGAAGTTGGAAAGTGACGCATACGCTCTTCTCACAACGTTCTTTGTGTGTTTCTCTAGCAACAGCTTACTATCCAAAACCACCCCTAGGTCTCCTATTTTGTTAAGAGTTCTTTAATTCCTTTCCATGTAATTTGCAAGTTGTGTGGGATCCATTTTCTCCAATTCCACATTCTATAACATGGCATTTATTCATATTGAATTCCACTTGACACATGGCACTCCAAGCACTAATTTTATCTAGATCAATTTGAAGGGCATGACATCATCTATGTCTCCTACATTTCCTAGTAGAGTAGCTTAGTGAGTGAGAGAGTGAGAGAGTGTGAGAGTGTGTGTGTGTGAGAGTGTGTGTGAGAGTGTGTGTGAGTGTGTGTGTGAGTGTGTGAGTGTGTGTGTGTGAGTGTGAGTGTGTGTGTGTGAGTGTGTGTGTGTGAGTGTGTGTTTACTAGTTGTGTACTAGTTGTGTTTATGCGGGGGTTGAGCTTTGCTCTTTCGGCCCGCCTCTCAACTGTCAATCAACTGTTTACTAACTACTACTATTTTTTTTTTTTTTTTCCACACACCACACACACACACACCCCAGGAAGCAGCCCGTGACAGCTGACTAACTCCCAGGTACCTATTTACTGCTAGGTAACAGGGGCACTTAGGGTGAAAGAAACTTTGCCCAATTGTTTCTGCCTCGTGCGGGAATCGAACCCGCGCCACAGAATTACGAGTCCTGCGCGCTATCCACCAGGCTACGAGGCCCCTGTGTGTGTGTGTGTGAGTGTGTGTGTGTGTGTGTGTGTGTGTACTCACCTAGTTGTACTCACCTAGTTGTGTTTGCGGGGGTTGAGCTCTGGCTCTTTGGTCCCGCCTCTCAACCGTCAATCAACAGGTGTACAGATTCCTGAGCCTATCGGGCTCTGTCATATCTACACTTGAAACTGTGTATGGAGTCAGCCTCCACCACATCACCCCCTAATGCATTCCATTTGTCAACCACTCTGACACTAAAAAAGTTCTTTCTAATATCTCTGTGGCTCATTTGGGCACTCAGTTTCCTGAGTGTTTCCCACTCCCACACGTGTGTGTGTGTGGGAGTGTGTGTGAGGGAGTGTGTGTGAGGGAGTGTGAGTGAGTGAGTGAGTGAGTGAGTGAGTGAGTGAGTGAGTGAGTGAGTGAGTGAGTGAGTGAGTGAGTGAGTGAGTGAGTGAGTGAGTGAGTGAGTGAGTGAGTGAGTGAGTGAGTGAGTGAGTGAGTGAGTGAGTGAGTGAGTGAGTGAGTGAGTGAGTGAGTGAGTGTGAGTGAGTGAGTGAGTGAGTGAGTGAGTGAGTGAGTGAGTGAGTGAGTGAGTGAGTGAGTGAGTGAGTGAGTGAGTGAGTGAGTGAGTGAGGGAGCGTGCGTATCACCCAGAAATGTCATCACTGCTGTTATAATGGATAGACACAAACACCTCTCCTTCTCCCCCTTTCCTCACTGTTTTCCATATGCCAACAAGAGTCCTCAATAAAGGTAAGGTACCTAAGATTATTATTCTGCATAAAATGAGTTTTTTAGCTAATATATTTGGGAGTGTGGAATGGATTAATTCAGTTTACATTATTTCTTATGGGAAAATTCGTTTCAGTTTTCGTACCGTCTCTGTGAACGGATTAACTATGAAAACCGTGGTACCCCTGTACTGTATACATACAGCCTACAGTACTGTATGTACTGTAGGCTGTGGTGTGCAAATTGGTGCTTGTTCACGGGTAACTTTAGGCTTTGCTGTGGGAAGTTTGCGGGGCACATGCCAGGAGCGCGAAAGTGTTAAGTAAGTCTTCAGATGAGAGGATGGAGGATAACAGCTCTTAGCTTGCAATTTCACTAGGAAAATCAGTACAATTTCCAGAGAACCCTAGTCTTTATTAGAAAAAATATATACAGTATATATATTTTGGCACCACAAAATACTCATAGCTAGGAGCAAAATTCCACTTTAGCCCATTTGACTATTTTGCTATTACACAATTGCAGCAGTCACTGCTTACTGGTTGCACTAAAAAACTAAATGGAACAATAAAAACACAAAAAGCACAGGGAATAAAAATAAAGACAAGAAATAGAAAAAACAGAATTTATTAAATAGGTTATTTGAAGATGGAGAATTTTAGTAATATGTGGAAAAAACTGACATTATAGTCCCCTAATATAATCAGCTTTTAGATGAAATCTAACTGGTTATATTTACCATGTGGGTGGCTATGGGGGTAGAGAGGTCGAGGGCGCTGTCCAACACCTGAAGGCTGCACAAGGTTAAGTGCTTGTTCCTCTTGGCTCAGAGCTGATGCTACAACTCGCACTACATCTTCATCAGCCTAAGAAAAAATGTCAAGTTGGTCACAACTATTTATACAAATTATTCAAGCCTACTTTTATACAAATATATTTTGCCAACTTTATTTCATTAATTAATTTCTCCCCACTCCCCCTCTCGGGGTGGGGAGGGCTGCTCGGACGATCGGTGCAGCAGTAAAGTGTGATGTTTGCTTGTTTCTTGCAAACAAGCAAACTTGGGATTGTAGGGAGTTTCTACCTCTCTGTTCGGTTTTTTGGTGGTTCACTCACTACTGAGGCCCTCACTCCCGGGAATGTGGCCCACGATTTTTTTTTTTAAATGGCGTCTGTTTACAAGAGCCCTGATGAAGGTGAGGTAAACCCCGTGTATCTGCGGGCTGTTTAAATCTTACGTAGTACTCCATCGCGTCATATGACACGATGCGCAATTTATTGCAAGTTACTCAACCCTGCATATAACGTGTTGCACAGTTTAAGGGTTAAGGAGCATTCTACTTGTGGTAAAACAATGAATATATTTAGTGTGGGAAAAATGCTTGGAAGTGTTCCATTTGTACTACTGTATTCTTTTATCATCGTACATAAATATGCATAATAAAATTTACAATAAAGAAGATTTACTTAAAAATATATAATGTCCATGATTCTAATCAAAATGGTTTACTATCTTACAAGAAATAGTTGTTGGCCCTAAATCAACAACAACGTTTCAAAAAGACATTAATGCCTCAGTTTTCATTACCTGGGTGAGTGGCTTGTTGGGTGCTCTGAGTCGTCTGAGGATGAGAGCGTGCAGCTTGTGTCGCAGCTGGAGTGCCAAGTGTGCCGCCTGAGGGTCACCCAGGAACTGTATCCAGTTGTCAATTCTTACAAGACAGCTGAGACCTATAGGTCGGTCCTCACTCTCACTGTCACTGCTGCAATCGCCACTACTTCCTGTTTCATAAACAATGCCATTTTAGACAAACGTTACATCTTGTTACTATGGGTAAGAAATTAGTGCTTTTTGTAGCATGAACTGTGAATAAAATATTTTGCCCAATGATTAAGCAAAAACAGGTATTTTAAATATGTGCATCGTAGATATGGACCAATACACTTTAATAGTCTATAAAGTACACTGAAAATGCCAACCAAATTAAAGGTGATCTTATATAAAAAGCTGATAAGGAGAAATTGGCCCAGTAAACACCTTACACAAGTTCCATGTTTTTCTCACAGAACTCAAATACAGAATAAACTTGTATAATCTGTTCCGTGCTTCATATATTTTTAACATTGAACAAAACCAATTTCAATATGTAATTACACAGGCAAATTTTTTATAAAATATTCAACTACTGCCAATGCTTCCAAACGTGTCAAACGATACCTACTGCAAGTAAGAGGACTAGATCCTCTCCTCATACTTACGACTTGAGGGTTCAGATAAGGCATCCAGAGGAAGTCTCATTGGACCAGCAAGTAGCAGGACTGTCAGTGGGGACACCAGTGTCACAGTTCGAACATGGGCAACTACTCCAATCCGTACCATCTCGTCATACACCAACCAATCGGAGGGTAAGTTGCTAACCAAGGCCCGATGAGCAGCACTTAGGGAGTTGTGGTTGTTGCCAGCCGTGTCTAACAGTGATGAAGTAGGATGCAATCGCACTTTGCTCTCCTTCCTGAATGAAGTAGAAAAAATGACAAAATTACAAGTAATAAATTCAACCGAAATTTCCAAGTAGAGAGAGAGACACTGATGAGCAACATTATGGTTACTGAGGAGGAAGTACAGATGCACCTGATAAAACTAGATGTATTAAAGGCAGTAGGGCCTAACCAGAGATCGCCATGGCAACAAGAAGAGGCCACAGGAATACTTTGGTGACCTTATGCAGCATTCAAATGTAATAGCACAAATAAAAGCGATTGAAAGTAATGATTAGTTTTCTGCACTTCATGCAAGAATGAACAATTTTATTAGCCAAAAAACCTGTACCATAAAAGTAAACAAAAACCAGGTAACATCAACTGAATACAGTATTCCTAACTTACTGTGTTCTAAGTTGGCACTGGTCTCTGTCAACCCTAATAAGGTTAGGGTACATTCCTGACACCAACGCAGCTTTTACCATCGCCCAGTTGTCACTGTTGCTATTGACATCTCTGTAAAATAATACATGTCTTGTTACTTGGGTCAGAGGTATACTGTATTTGCATCTGATTTTCCTAACATTACCAAACATTCCAAACAGATGCACAATGAAATTACAAAAACTTGATATATCTGAGAAAATATTATAGCAATGAGTGTTGGATTTGTATGATGGCATTCTCCTTAATGTATATACTGTATAGAGCCGTCTCCCAATACTATGTGAGGTCAAGTTCTGGGAGAGACAATGTAGTACAGAACACCATGGTCTAAGACTCAGGGAAAAATTAAGATGCATTTCAAAGTCAAAAGATTTGTTACATATGAAATTAACATAAAATTCTGCATATACTAGTGTGAGAGGAAACTAGAACATTGAAAATGCTCAACAAAAATATACCGTAATCTAAAAACTGTAATACTTTATGAAAAATCAGCACCACCTGAGTTGTTCATCCACTAGATGCATGTCATTAAGAACATGACCATACTAAGCAAAACTGCCACTGTACGAGTTCTCATGCGGCACATGGGGTCAACAGTAAACAGTACTTCAAAAATGGAATATTAATAAAAATCAATATACAAAGTGACTAAACAAAATTAGAACATACCTGATGTCACCAGGCCCACGAGCTCGAACAAATCCAGCTCCTCGCAGCTGAGCCAGTACCTGGGATCGCATGCCATGGATCATCTCCATGGTTGCTCCAGAGACATAATTGCGTTCACACCATCCTCTCTCCCAACCTTCACCACATGCCTTTTGCCATGCCTAAAATTCCAAATAAACTTGTTCTATATACAACATTTTACTACAGTTTCTTTGCACATCACTCAATTATTTGGTTATGTTGTTCACAGTTTTCATATAAGAAATAATGCAACAAAGAACACACAATTGGTTGGTATGGTTTAGACAGTGTTATACTGTACCTGGAAAGCTTTCAAGAGAACCATGTGGTCGCTGTACGTCCCAGATGTAAATTTTCGTCTGACTGCGTTAGCATTTCTCTTCTCACTTGGATGCTTTGGCAGTGTAAATGGATCTCTGGAGAATGAGTTTGAAATTAATTATCTATTAAATTACATCACAGATTTAAAGATTATAAGACAAAATGTACTAGATATTTTGCCCTCGCTACTTACTTGTAAGCTAAACAAGCTGCAATCGTAAGCACTGGATCCAGGCACTTGAGGACAGTGGCTGTGATCACCATTTTGGCCAGGCGTGGTGGTAAAGGCAGATCCAGAAGGTGATGTCCTAGTTCAGTCACATCCTCCCAACCATCCAAGGCATCCATGCTCTAGAAAATGTTGTCACTTACACAGGAATCCCAAGTGTCCATAAAACTTGGCTTCCCCTACTTAAAATGTAAAGGTAATTATTCAGAAAGTATGAGAATACAAGAGCTATCTAAATAAAAATATCACTTCCCAAACCAAATTTATCACTAAACAGTCATATATATAACTTTTGATACAGGATTTAAGTCCAAGCAGTATGGTTCTTTAGCAATGCACTATTATTTATGTCAACCCAGCCTATACATCAGTTGATATTCCAAGAAACACACAAGTAATTTTTCAACCCCCCTAACAGTGATCCTCAATAACACAACCCACGATAGATGAACACAACAATACCATGACAGATGGTACCCAAGATAAATGAACATGAAAATATAGTACAGTGATCTGTTTTACTACTCTTGATAAATGAACAATATAGTGATCTTCAGATGCCACCCTTGATAAATGAATACAGAGGAACCTCGGGTGACGAGCAGCTCCATCTACGAGCATTTCAGGTAATGAGCGAGTCACTCGCAGACAATTTGTCTCGATTGACGAGCTTCCGCTTGATTAATGAGCAAACCATGTGCTGCAGTTCTCGCAAATTCTTGGGCAAATTCAATTGTACTTTTTAAGTAAAATTTAAAACAATAAAACACAATATTTATAATAATTACATGTATTATAATTACATTATAAAATGTCATATTAATGTTTTTTGAGGGTGGAATGGATTAATTGGATTTCAATTATTTTAAATGGGGAAATTTGTTTCATAAAACGAGCGTTTTACAGGACGAGCTCAATGCAGGAACGGATTAAATTTGCTAATCGAGGCTCCACTGTACTACAATACAGATATCCACAAGAGATTCTACAAATGATACATGACACGAGACTATAAACAAAGAATAAGGCCAAGAGACATCAAGCAATTATGGTCCATTTACAAAACCTGAGCAACTTTCTTCGATCAAGGCAGCCTGGCCGACGTAGGCGTTGACAGCACTTTGCTTGTACCTGTCTGGGCAGTCACTATTAGCCTTAAGGCACATTCCTATGTTCAAGGAATGTAGTGTGAATGTGCCTTAATGCTAATAGTGACTGCCCGGACAGGCACAAGCAGAGTGTTGTCAACGCCTACGTCGACCAAGCTCACTCACAGCTGTGGTTGGAAGTAGGTCGACAAGGAACTCTGTAGAGTAAGGCAGATCCTAGCCAATAATGGCTTCTCTAACGGTTATGTTGAAGACGTCGTTAAAATAAAGGTGACACACCAAGCAACCTCTGAAGAATTAACCAACACAACACCTGCACCTCCTATTAGATTGTTTTACAGGAACTTCTTTTCCACAACTTAAAACAGAGGAAAGCATTCTGAAAGATATTATTGATAGGAACGTTATCCCCACAGGCACCAATGAGAAGATACAATTAACAATTTACTACAAAAACAAGAAGACCGACAACCTACTCATGAAGAACTCTTTCCAGACATTAAGCAGAATGCCTTAAGATAGACCAACGTCGTCTATGCTTTCACATGCCCACTTAGGGATTGTCAGCCCCAAAGATCTCAGTATCTAGGCAAGACAACAACATCTCTTTAGGGGATTAACAATGCACAAGCAACAGGGCTCTATCAAGGAGCATATAACCTTCCCATACAACCAGACCATTACCAGAGACATCTTAACAAGCACCACTGAAATAATCAACAGGTATAACGACAACAGAAGACGACATCAGTGAGGCCCTACACATCAAAGTCATGACCAGCAATCAACAACCAGTTAACATATATTTACATTCTACCCACTTCAAAACCCCAGACCAACACAGACAGTTGAAGCAAGAACATAGGCTATTAATATCCATTATGTTTCATCCACTTGTTTATTTCAATCATGTAATGTACCACCTTACCAAAAGAGAATATAAGCTCTTGCTAAAGCATTGTAAATTTGTCTTTGAAAATGTAAAGAGTGCCCTGCAAAACGCATCCGTAGGCATCAGTGTGAAATATAGTGTGAATCATATAGTGTGAAAATGAACTTTTGGAGAATTAATTTTTAAACTTCCCTCGGCAGTGAAGAAAAACATAAGAAATATTGAGAAGATTCATGTTAGAATCATTAATCTTATCCTTTCGGTCATATTCAACAACATATGTCTACAAGAAAGACTGCTACCAAGATAAATACACACACACTTTGCAAATGGAATTTAATTTGCATAAATACCATGTTATGGAATGTGGAATAGGGGAACATAGACCCTCACGCAACCTATAAATTATGTGAGAAATCTTTAAAGAAGTCTGATAAAGAAAGAGATCTAGGGTAGTTTTAGATAGAAAAAAAGTCACTGGAGAAAATAATAAATCTGACCTGTAATTTACTATCAGATCAGTCCTAACAAAAAAAATTGTCAAAGCTCTTCAAAACCCTTATATATCAACAGTTAATATATATAAAAATCATTTGACATACTTTCAGTAATTGAACTGCATTACGTATGACCATGAATGCAGGAGCCTCAGGTGCCCGTGCTAGGAAGTCTGCTATAGGCATGTTGGCTGGAGCAAGTAGTTTAGTATGGAGACACAGCTCCTATGGAGAAAAAGAACAGATTTCAATAAGCTAAAATATCTGATCTGAAAATATCAATCTGAAAACTTGAAAAATGTTAAAATACACACAGTCACATTTGTGCTTCAGCATCCTTTAAATTCTTTCACCTCATTTTAAGAATGACTTCTTTGCAATACGATCTCTCAGATATACTGTAGACACCCACTAATCAGGAAAATGCCCTAATCCAACCAAAATGTCCATGGAAGCCGGACTAGCTGATATTTGGCCGGATAAGAAATCTGAGCCGGTTAACTTACTGTTCGGATTGAGTAACATCGGCAGCAAGCCGGACAAGCGGCAAATTGTTCGAACCAGAAAGCCAGGTGTCGGGCCATACCGTATTAATCCCATACTCCTGTGGCTCTAGGTGCTTGGTGTCGGAGGTGGTGTTGTCAGGAGAGAGGGGAGAATTGGGAGGGACTACCTGAGGGATAGCAGGGATATGGAGGGGCCTATACACTACAGAAATTACCATTAATTTTAAAACAATTCATCACAGTTAAAAACAAAAGAAATAATTATATAATAACAAACATACAAGGTTCCTAAAAAAATTTACACAGGCTAAAGTTTGCTTCAAAAATATTGTGAGTTTTTTCCAGCTGGCGGCCTACGTAACGTGCCTGCCTGCCCCGAGTGAACCCATCCAGGCCTGGTCAAGCCAAACAGCCTATGTGCTCCCGTCCCTCGTGTTATACCACAATGCCACACCATTAGTGAAATATGTTTTTTAAACAACTTTTTTGTTTTCATAGTAACTTTGAACATTTTTGGCCAAGATTATGTCTGGTAGCAGCATCAATCGTTCTGGAGGTGTTAAGAGGAAGGAGGTTACCCTAATAATTAAAGACAAGTTACGTGTCATACAACTTTGTGAAAGTGGCTGGTTGACTTCAAGTGTTGCCAAGGACTTTAATATAGGCACTAGTACTGTTCACAGTACTAGTACATCACAGGCAAGCCAAGCGCCTTCAACCAATGAGGCGTTATAGGCAAGGCAAGCACCTTCAACCGGTGAGGCTTCAGCAGCTAGCAGTCAAAACTAACTTGGCCTCATGAACTGTACAGTAATTTTAAATGTTAATTTAAGTGTTGTGTTAGAATAGGTTATGTAAATTGTCAAGAATTCTTTACTTCAAGATGTGTGACATCAATCAAGAAGACAAACTACAACAAGGTAAGTTGAGGTTTCTAGTTGAATATTTTATAATTATATGTGGCAAGACAATTCAAATTATGTTGTTTGTGGTATAAAAATAGTTGAAAATGGTCAGTTTTGAACTTCCGTGGTGAAAAAGTAAAGTTAATCCGGAAAACGTGATAATCCAGCTGGGGGTCCTTCCCATATAGTCCGGATTAGTGGGTTTATACAGTATAATCACTTTAAATATTGGTTTGTTTTTACCGACTAAAACTGGCTTCATAAATCTATAACTATCATTACTTTGCACAATAATCAAGCTGACTAATATGATAATCATTTAATTGCATCCAGTTATACATTTATGCCTCTAAAAAAATGAAAAATGGTCCAAAAGGACTCCAAGCATTTTAAATAAACATTATGTACACACCTGCAATGGAGTTCTTAGGATTTCAGGTGTTTGGTGTGGCTGTAGAGCATTGTACCGTCCACGAGAGAATAGGTGATAGCAGATGCCCGGCTGACACCTTCCTGCCCTGCCACGCCGCTGCTGACTAGATGCTTGAGATATCCACACTGCACGCAGACACGACACACCTACCATCGAGTCGTAACTCATCTAGCAAAAGAATTTTTTTTTTTAAGTTGTTAGCAGTTAAATTAAGATCACATCTAGCGGAATCTAAACATAGTGTACAGTACATGTGGAATTTGATTAATAGGCAAAAGACTTTACATTGACATAAGTTCGCCAATGTTCCAAGTCACAGTACACAAGCATCTATGGTACCTTCAGCACAACTAGGAATTGAAGAGGTGAAGAACGAGGAATGAAGACCTCATTCTTGGCAAATGTCCTGTACTGCCATCAGAGCCCACACGTATTACAAGAAGACATACAATTGATCTTAGCCAGCCCTCTCTAAGGTTTCCCCCCTGCATGCACCACTAGTGTATATCCTTTGACAAGCTATCTTCTATATTAGCACACTGTATTTCTCAAACTAATGTGGCAAACTGGCAATTTGTTTTCCAACGTGCCAGGTACCATATTTGTGCCATATTATCATTGTACAGTTTTTGCATAGGCATCTAACACATCAGATTTGAAAAACTAATATTCCCCACTGTATTAATTGGTAGGAATATGTATATCAAGCATAGTGTACCCAGCGAGATTTTCCCAATTAAATATATTGAAGTACTAACTGAAAGACTGTTCATATGTTAGGAGAGTATAAAATTATAATTATTAGTTTACAATTCAAGAAAATATCATGTATTTGCACAGGCATAATAAAATTAATTTACTAAAACAAATATAATACTGTACTGTATTTATTATATTTGAAACATGTCAGGTTGAAGGGTTCTGAAATTCACAACTATATACAGACCTTTCAATACTGCTCTATACCAGTACAGTATATCTTTTGTTGTTTCCACTTAATTTTTTTTTAGAACATTTTAAACATACAGGAATGTCCACATAAATAAATTAATTAATAACTTACCTCTTTAACCTTGCCAGCATCGATAACATATACAACATCATTGATAGTCACACTGGTCTCTGCGATGTTTGTAGAAAGTATGATCTTACGAACGCCTGGTGGTGCAGATCGGAAAACTCGCTTTTGATCACTTGACTGCGAAGAAAATATAAATAATTTGTTCCGTATTGTTGGTTGGAAATGCACATGACAATTGCTTTTCATCTAAGGTATTGTTTTATGCCCACTGCTGGCTGAAACTATGAAAGACCCACTGTGTATCTACAACCCAACTTATTCCAGAATTGCAACATTAGCAAAATGGTAAGCAAGATGTGACCCACTGTTCTGCACACAGTCTTTTTTGGCATTAAGTTCACAATCTACCCTGTGCCTTGGATATGAACAAAAAAATCACATACAAGCATCCATTATCACTTCATCATCGCTCCCTTCCATGGGATGGGAAGATATCACACTAGAAAAACAAAATGGAGAATCAATGCAAATGAAGGTTATAGTTATTAAACAATAGATAATATTAAATATCATTCATCCCTTCATTATATCATTCCCAATATATATAGCATAATGGATATGAAAGCCGCATCAAATATCAACAGCCATCCACAACCTCCAGAGATTGTCTCCGTAATGGATATTTGATTTCAAACCTGACAAATACAATGTTATGAAGACAGGCATTGGAGCAAATCGACAACAAATACAGTACAATTTAGGAGTACACACAACTTGCTATCTAACATAAGAGGCATATATCAGCAGAATAATGACAGCTGCATATGCCCTACTGGTAAACATCTAGCTATCCTTTAGGAACTTTGACAAAGATCACTTCCAAGCACTATACATCCTTTGCAAGACCTATTATTGAGTATGCTGCCCCAGCATGGAACCCCTACCTGAAGAAGCACAAAATAAAACTTGAAAAGGTCCAAAAACATGCAACAAGGCATGTGAATAAGTATCCTGAGTATTTGTATAAATAATACAAGTATAGGTAATATTGGAAGGGGACCCTGAGATAAGGCAACTGAGCTATGAAGAAAAACTGGAAACTGGACCTCACTACACTAAAGAAGGAACAGGGCAGACATGATAGCAACATACAACATATTAAGGGGGAATTGACAAAGTAGATACAGAAACAACATTCAAATTAAGGAACAGTAGAAAGAGAGGACATAAATGGAAATTGAAAACACAGAAGTCACAGGGATGTCAGAAAGAACGTTTTCAGTCTAAGAATCTTGACTAAGTGGAACATACTAGATGAACATGTTGAAGCCAATTCGATATACTATAGCTTTAAATGTAAATTATAAGAAAAAAAGTGAAAAAATAGTCACTACATTAAACTAATGATGGTGGCCGTAAGGTGGCATTTAAGAGCAGATGCTCGACTGTGCAAGCACAACTAGGCGACATCAGCAGCAGCCCGTCCTTGACATGACCAGGCGTACATGCACCATGCCAGCTGTCATATACAGTACCTCACTATACACACAAATACTTTCATTTCTTTATTACAAAGTACTTCCACTTGGCTTCCTCCCATATCATAACCTGTGCATTGTTCTTACAAAGCATGTACAGTATATTACAAAGTAATATATATATTACAAAATTACATCATTATTATATATTACAAAGTACTGTGGCACCTTGGTTTACGAATTTAATCCGTTCCAAGAGTCGGTTCATACACCGAAAAATCCTAAACCAAAACGAATTTTACCTAAGAAATAATGTAAATTGAATTAATTCAGTCTACACACCCAAAAATATTAACTTAAAAATACATTTTATACAGAATACTACTCATATTTTTTACTATACCTTACCTTTATTGAGGACTCATGTTGGCGTATGGAAGTTAGTGAGGAGTGGGGTAGAAGGAAAGGTGTTAGTGTTTCGAAGGGGGAGTCCCCTTCCATTATAACATCTGACAGTGATGACATTTCTGGGGTACTCTCTCCTACATTTTGCAGGCATCTAACTTGGACCTGGTTGTGGCTCACTGCTTGCTTGTCTTACAAAGGGGGGGGGGGGGCACGCAAATGAGCTCTGCATGGTGTGATGACGTGTTGCTTGTTTGCATGTTTTTCTTTGGTGCAGTTTCTCGCCCTTGTTTGTTCTCAGGTTGCAATATTTCTACCAGGAGGGGTCTATTTTGAAGCACCTACCTTTCTGAGTGTTCAACCCTGGTTGATGGCAGACATGAATACTTTCATACATGTGTTTTTCATAGGATATTGCTCCCTGCACCTCTCTGAGGGGACCATGTTCTGGCTAGTGGTCCCCGGTAGGCATGACAACTCCATATGACTGAAGCCCCATACTAATATCAGCTAATATCAGTCCAATAGCTCCAGGGAGTCGACAAGGCTTGCCCACAGAAAAGCAGAAAAACTATGAAATTCTTCAAAAAAAAATCAAGCGCGGTCATTACTAGGTGGGATACACTGGTAAACTGAGCGTGCCTCGCCTCGCGCCCAGCAGAACCACGTGCCCGGCCCATACAAGTATAATATCAACAGATGATTCGTATTCCAAGGCAAACTTCATACACCAAGTCAAATTTTATGAGGAAATTGACTTCGTATACCAAAATCTCTTAATCCAGGGCATTTGTAAGCCAAGGTTCCACTGTAATACGTATGCTTGCTAAAAACTCCTTACCAACTAAAATCAGAACATACATTACCTGCATACTAGAGTGCAAACAAAAGAGGCAATATTTTCCCCCAATGAGATACTGTTTCTCCTCTGCTATAATGCGATCCCTCAAGGTCACTATATCGTCATATCCAGGCAGAAAAATAAGAATCGCACCTGCACCAATGAAAGAATCACAAAATGTTAAATTATTTCATTATTTGAAAAAGACTATAGTACAATATTTATACAACACATTTGTTACTTTTCCCCTCAGATTAAACTTGCTGAAACAATTTAAGAATTTAATTTACAGTACAGTACTTCTTGAGCAAAGAAGCAATAAATTTTATTTATTAACAAGTATAGCACTAAAACAATGCTCAAAAATTGCACACTTTTTTTGCTGAAAGACCACAAACAGGTACACACTTTACTGCCTGTATATGTGTATATATACAGTATATCTATATACTTCCGAGACTGATGGATGCCTACTACTACTATATAGCAAGTAATTATAAGTTGTGGCATCACCTGGCGGCTGGGCAGTATGGAGTTTGTAGCAGAGAGCATGAACCAGATCCACATCAACAATCTCATCTGACACAGAGTGGTGGTATGCATCAAGCATCCTTTTATCCTCAAGACTTAGCTCAAGGGTGGGCGTAACAGGTGTTGATCCCCGTGGTCCTCCCTTACCTGGAGCAGGACTTCCCTTACCATTCAGAGATAGCAGATCTACTCCTTCACAGGCACTGTGGTTCAGAATAAAATATAATAAACATTCTAAACTGAAACACACAAGTTTTATGCAAAGATGCTAGTTATACAATAAATCTAAAATTTTATTAACCTGCTCCCTCAGTGCCATCCCCTCTTCCCCAGGGGATACACCTGGGGAAGGGTTGACAAACCCAGGTCAACCAGGGGGAAGAGTCAACCTGGGTTTTGTCCTTAGATGGGAAAGAAATGGTTGGGCACATCTGTTTTTATGTGATATCCCTGTTCACCCAGCAGTAAAATAGGAACAAGTTAGATAATTGTTGTAGGATGCATTTTGGGGAAGGTCATTAGTAGGCCTAGAGGGGGACAACATTAAATCTAAGTACAGGCTTTCTGTCCCCATCAATGGGATTTATAGGCAACAGCTTACAGCCTAAATACCATTTTATCTCACCTGTAGGCATGCAGTAAATCTAGAGCCTCTTGCTGCCCTGTAGACTTGGCCCAGCTTGCAGCTGTCCAGTCATTTGCAGCACGCAATGTAAGAGAGGCTCCGAGTGCTAAAAGTTGTTCAACTACATCCACCCGACCACGTCCAGAAGCAACCATGAGAGCAGTTGCCCAGGTTTCTGAATGCTGTGGGGAAGATGGAAGAAAAAAACAGCACACGTAAATACAGTGCTTTTTCAGTTTCCTAAATTCTTCTATGGCCAAACAAATTTTATTCTTCAATTTATGCATGGAAGTATGTTGATCTGCAACAGTATTTAAAGATACAGCATGTACAAATCACAGTAATTTACAATAATGACCTGATAATCTGGAGAGACATTCTCAGACATGATTAAGTACATCATCTGGGAGAAGGCTTCATCAGAGCCATTGAGAAAGGCCTGCTGGATGCATTGATCCATTTCTTCCTTCAATGTGTTATCCAATTCTGTTCAAAGATGTACATAAAGATAATCTGAATATATTATACAGCAATATCATTAAATAAAATTTATGTATTAAACAAGAGGTGGAAAATCTACAGCCAGTGGATGTATTTCAGCTCAATTTTTGCTCTTTTGTGTTTTCCATATTAGACCTAGTAAATATGAACAGATAACAAAGCTGTTCCCCAAGGCAAGATCCTCCTTGTTCATTGGATGGATCATGAACAGTCAGCCAGGTCAAGATTCTGGCATCAGTGATGCAGGTAACCATTGTAACACGTCTGCAGGGTTAAATTGGTACCTGGCAGACACTGGAGTACTTTCAATTCATTCAAGACCTCACTGGCATCACAAGTAACTATCAATAGAACACACTCAGTACCAATAAACACAGCTGGATACCTCCACCAGGTAGCAACACCACACCTACAAAAGGGTACAATGAATTTAACATCATCATCACAGTATTCCAGTGTCCTGTGGCAGCTAGGCAGACAAGGATAGGATTTCAGTTGTGACTTATTTCATCCTTAGAAATTCTGTCATGCTGTGGGATCTTGCTTGTTTGAGTGCACACACACATGCACACGCTTCACATGTATGGGGTAAAATAAGGCTATGTATCTTCGACTCATTTTTACCGACTTTTTTCTCTCAGATCAAGCTCAGCATAAAACAGCAGCAGCTTTGCTATATTGAGTTAATACCAATTTACTCATGCTCCTTTGGGGCTTTCTCCCAGAATGTAGTTTTTTGCAGTGTATTGTGTATGTTTGGCTGTGCCAAGTGGTCTACAAAGTCCAAGCTGCCACTCGCCACTAGGTTGCAGCAACTTGCCTGTCCCCCGGATTCACTCCCCAGAGCCAGCTGATACAAGACTTAGCAATGAAATCCTGCACACAGAAGGGAAAAGAACAAGAAAGTAATAGGGAGCAGTCAAATATGTTTCAGAAAATGGCTTTCACAATTTCTTATGTGTTGAGCTCTCACATTTGGCTCCTGCTCATTTAAGGAGTCTGAATGACCATAGTGTGTGACAGATCCCAGGATACAAGTGCAAAGCCTGGATACCAAAGAGACTTCCTATGAAAAATAGACTATTTGATATTTTGATTAAGTTATTGTGCTTTATTTGTGATTATATACAGTCATACCCAGAGGTTTCTAAACACCAGTAGGGATGTTTTGTTATTCATTTGCTAGAAACAAAATATGCTAATACTTAATTCAACATTCCTGAGTGTATTTAGCGTAAAACTTTATAATAACAATGTTATAGAGCAAAATTACATCACAGAAGTGTAAAATTTTTTAATGAATTGTAAAACAGTTATTCCATAACCCAAAAATGGAATATGGGTCTAAATACATCCAGAATATTAAACTTGTACCTCAAAAAATATTACCATGATTCTTGGTTTGTGGAGTGTCGGACATTCTACTGGGAGATACTATTGCTGATGCTCCGGACACATTGTTCAGGATTTGCTGCGACATCTGTTGTGTCCATGCTGTCGCTGTCTTCTGACCACTTTGTCGCTGTTCTAATTCCTTGCCAGCTTTCACCATTTCTGGAGTTTGGTAGTTGGTGCTAGAATGGAAAGGGTTAATCCATAAATTACAAAATTAAACTTGCTTTTGAAATTCATGACAAAGAAGTATTAATTACACCAATATGCTAACATTACATTATAAAACCTTAAGCATATGAAAGTTATTCTGATGCACATTTTTTATTTTTAGAGCTTAAGTTGCTGATCTTAATTTGCAAAATCATATATTTTGCTGACAATTTAAATACTGTAATAAACAATTTTCTACTCAATGTTGGTTGCCAATTTCCTACGACACCTGGATCTTGACTGAAGAGGGTTTTGAGAGTTATTCTATAAATCCTTCAAACATTCCATAAACACTTACTACTTTAGCACATCTTCTAAGAAATACTCCTTCACTGGGTAGCACCTTCCAGGAACTGTAAATACAACAGGAAATGAAAAGAAATAATCACTAATTACAGTAATGGTAAATCACCTACTTACCAAATGAATCACAAATTGTTGCTACAATGACAGAGTATAATGCTTTCAAAGTCATTTGTCGTCATAATGTAATATGGATCCTGTAGCACAGTGGTCTATGTCCTCAGCTCACAACTGAGGGAACCCAGGTCTAATCTCTGGGCGGGACAGAAATGGTAGGGCATGTTTCCGTTCACTGTATGCCTCTGTTCACCTAACATTAAAATAGGTACCTGGGAATTAGGCAACTGTTGTGGGTTGCTTTCTGGGAAAGGTCAGTAGTCGACCCAGAGGGATCTTGATAAGCCTAAGTAAAGACTTCCTGTCCCCGATAATAGGAATTACATGAATAATCTGTGTTGAGTTTCCCAAAAGCAAACTCCTGCCTCTCGGAGTCTCAGGGCGCCACCCTGACGATTTTCAGCGCGCCCCAGCCAGGGATCTATTGACACTGCTGAAAAACATATTTTGGTAGTGCAACAGTAGCATACTGGCCCAGAGCCTGAAACATGTTAGAAAACAGCAACCCTTCAGTAATACTCTTAGCTTATGGAAGTACAGTAGATGGTGCAAGTTAAGGGTTACAAGTACAGAGTTAAGGGTTACAGTCCATTTACTCAGATATATCATGTTACGATGATTTCACCGTGTTATACAAACAGCATAAGAACACCTTTCTACAAAATGAAAGTACCCAGTATGTAGATATTAGGATGAGCTGCATACAAAATAAAACATAGCCCTCTATTTAAATAATGAGAAGAATAATCAAAAGCTTATTCTTTTGTAAATGCTGTACTCTAATACCTATACAGTATAGTCAATGAATAAAACATGAAACTAATAAGTATAATATTATGAACATGAATTAAGCCATACCATCAATGACTGGACAGTTGTTAAAGTACTTGGCATAAAGATTAACATCCAGTGCCGCCGACATGAGTAGAAGCTTAAGATGACGGAATTTGGGCAGGCAGTCCCGTAGCACAATCAGAAGGAAGTCTGTGAATCTATCTCTCTCATGAACTTCATCAACAAGAACTGTCAAGAAAAGAGAAAGATAAGCCAATTAACATGAAGCTCATCTATCATTTTTGTCCAAGTGAAAACAGGAAAGTATTTACAGACCAATATTAATTTTTGTGTGTAACATTTATTAATGAATAAGTCCTGGCTATTTACAATGAACATATTGCTTCAAAGATGTCATTATACAGTATTAAAAACAGATTAAGCAACAATGCGAGCGGACAACAGGTGTAGGTTAAAACATACATTGCAATAGTGAAATTTCAATCACTATTTCATAATATTTCATGATCATTATTTACCACAACAGATTTTGAAACCTGGCCATCCATTAACAACTGAAAATTAAATAAAGTTAGATACACATAAGAGAAAAGTTATTAGTTTAAAATCTCAAATATTTTTGCCTTATTTAAATTCAAATCTAAGTTTCATACTTACTGTGAGTTACACTGGCAAGAGAGGAATCGCCCCCCATAAGCGTACGAAGTAGCACTCCATTTGTACAAAATGTCAGCAAAGTCTTTGGTGATAACCTACACGAGACAAAATGAATGAGTTTCTTGGACCGAGCATTAATTTCTGGCAACAAATCATATTTTCTATAGCATTGTTACAAAAAATCAAATGCTTCATCTTCACACTTATTAAACCATAACTGCACTGTAATCCTATTAAACCTCAGACATAACTCTAAACTTTAAAAGAAAGAAAAAACAAGAAAAAATTGTTAATTTTCTAGTATTTTGATGCAAATTTAAAATTTTCCTTAATACATTACAATCACTTACTCCATTTTCAAATTCTACTTGCACAAATGTATTGCTTTCCTGACCGGCAAAGCCTTGGAAAAAAAAAATCTACTAAATATTTCAAACACTGGTTTGAAAATTGTGCTTTAATAATTTGTTTTGTTGGGCAACAGGAAGCCTGTTTATATATATACCTTAGGCTTGCATTGAGATTCTCCAAGATGGAACTACTGCCCATCCCCAGGATGCAACCCCACAACAATTACCCAACTCTTGGGTACTTCTTTACTGCTACATGAACAGAGGCATTAAATGACAGAAAATGTGCTAACCCTTTCTCTCCTGCATGTGCATGAGAATCGAACCCAGGATCCCCAATTGTGATTTGAGAATTAAGCCAACTGTACAATGAGACCCTAGGTTTGAGCCTCCTCCACGGCTTCATAAACAATTTCCTAAATATCAATAAAGATCCAAAATGTTTGCACATTAATTGCAAATAAATAAACAATTATATTAATGTCTTACTTGCTCTCCAGTCTAATTTGGTAACCAACAGTGTATCCAACTTTTTCACCTCTCTCTGCTGCCACTCTTTCTGCAATGGTTAATGCAGAAATTCTTCGTGGTTGAGTACAAAAAATACGACATGGCTTTCCCAGGGATGACGCCTCTTGGAGCAGCATTTGTGGTACCTGGAAGCAAGAAGATACCTGCTTGATGGGGTTCTGGGAGTTCTTCTACTTCCCAAGTACAGTCAGAGGCCAGGCTTGATAAAGCCTGGCCTCGGCTTTATCCAGCTTAATTGTTAATTCTGTTCTTCTATCTGCTTTATGAAACAAATTACAGAAATATTATATAAAAATTATAATTAAGCATTCTAAATCTTGTGAGCATCATCAAATCTGTTTCAAAATTGAAGCTTAAAGCTGGCAGATATATGCAAATTGTTAGAGGTACGATCACTACATAAATTTGTATCACATTTAACCACCAGCCAATAAAATAAAGTATGTAATAAAACAAAACACAGTAGAGACGAAAAACAAGTTAATAAAATGATACTGTATAGAGAGAAAGCCAGCACTAAACACGCACCATTAACAGCTGTATGGTGTTAACCCAACATAACAATGCAACAAGAAACTGGTTTCATTAGTACAACAACAACAATATATAAACAGTACAGTGGTAGGATGTACTGAGCTGATATTATGTAATATACACACACACACACAAGGAATTAGTATATGTTATTACAAAAATGGTTCATGAATACAGTAAAGTGTATTGGATTAGTATAGTGAATGATGTATAACACCGTATTAACATAATACATTCGATAATGCATATACAGTACTTGGGTGTATTGATTCAATACAGCCTAGTGGGAACGCACACACTGTAAGGTATAACTATGCTAAAAGAATCCAATCCCTTACCCCTAAAAAATTAGGAATATATCTAGAAAGTGTGGGGGCCCTGGTAGTTTTTCACTTAACACTTTCGTGCTTTGGGAGAGCGAGCATTTCTCCTACCCTAGTGGTTTTGGACGTTTCGCGGGAACACGCGGTAATACTGAAGAGTGTATACTCTTTTCAACTTTGTCACCTTAATTCACGTCCTAGGTTTTTCAATTTTGTATCAATGTGTTCGCAATAGAATGATCTACAGCACTAAAAGCATATAAACTCAAAAAGCCCGGCTTACCACCCACAGCAAACAGAGAAACTGAGAAAGTTACCCGGGAGCATGCAAGAGCTATAAAATGTGTCACTCTTTTTCACTTTGGTCACCTCAATTTTCGTTATAGGTCTTTCATTTTGTTACTGTATCAATGTGTTCGCAATAAAATTCCCAACAGGAGTATATGCATATAATGTAAAAAACCGTGGCGCGCTCCACCCGCTGACGTGATGAGAGCAGGGAGGAGCGCTGGGCCATTCATTAGAGAGTGCAGTAATACTGTAAAGTGTATACTCTTTTCAACTTTGTCATCTCAATTCTCATCCTAGGTTTTCCAATTTGATATCAATGTGTTCGCAATAGAATTCTCTACACGATTAAATGCATATGAAGTCCGAAAGCCCGGCGTACCACCTGTACAAAACAAATCGAGAGAAAATTACCCCAGGAGCGTTAAAGAGCAATGAAATGTGTACACTCTTTTCACTTTGGTCACCTCAATTCTCGTCTTAGGTCTTTCACTTTGGTATCAATGTGTTTGCAATGAAAATCCCTATAGGTGTATATACATATAATGTCCAAAACTGCAGTTTTCACAAAACCAAATGTTTTTAATCCCAATTTGCCAATACAGTACTCCAATTGCTTTACAAAAGTGGTTTTGGGTATATATATATATATATATATAGGTATGCTCTCAAGAAAAACAAACATACCTGGGTTGTTTTCCCAGACCCAGTCTCACCACAGACCAAGATCACCTGGTTGTGGTGGACAGCAGCGAGGAGCTGATCCCTCATGTTCCAAATTGGTAACTTCCTTGCTTCTGCAGTCAGATCACTGAGACTTGGTGGTGGAGGAATCTGTGGGGGCCCTGGAGTCAACCGTCCCAAGGAACGTAGTACACTAAGGTCTCTCACTGAAACCATAAAGTGCTGTATTAGATATATGTAATTAAACAAAGATACTCTGCATTTAACTCTGTAAACTATTATAAAAAAATTGATGAAAAAAATATATATTATACACATCATAAAAGAACCAGCATCTAAATTTCAATTTTATACTTGTTACTGCCTATCTATAAAGTTACTAGACTTGATAATAATATTGTATGTCAATGAATATAATTCACGAGTCTTAAAACTCGTGATTCACTTTCTACATTCAAAACTGTTTAAGCTGTTGTAGACCTAGTTTGTGTATGTGGTGCTACTACCTGGTGGCAGTCAGTGGGCTTCCAAGCAGGTCAACTTATACTTCTCTACAGTGAGGCACTTGTATAGTCAAACTAGAATTCAGAATTATTCTCCAGTGGCTCATCACCTTAATGACCATGCGAAGATAATTTGAAGTAACCTGGTTCCTAACCAATGGGTTGTGAACTGGTATTTTATGAATAAAAATATATATTGAGTATTGAACTATGGAATATTGTTTGAACTCCTTGAATATTCCTTGAACTATTCAAATAAAATTCAAATAAAACTCTTAATGTGATTATTTCTAAATTCATTCTTTGAAAAAATAATTCAATTATGAAATTGTGGTAGTCTTAGTCTTGTGGTACTCACAGTCTTGGTCAAGAAAGGTTGGGAATTACTACATTAAACACAATCCATTCTAACTACTCAATTCTAATAACTCACATTCTGGATTCATAAGTCTATCCCTTTCAGTAGCTGGCAAAAGGTCTTGGCGCTCTTTGTTGGTAACTGGGCAACGCTGAAGTAGTCCCAAGATGGTAGCGCGTGTAGGATCAGCTAGACTAACAACTGCTTCACTGCTCATAATTGTTGACCCTTCTTTTTTGTACACTGTTAGGTAGCGGGACGAGCCTTTCCTGAAATTAATGAAAGTAGACGGATCAAAATGACAGATAACGTACACATTTATATTCAATATAAAAACATTGAATTCACAGCTGGTGAATTAGTGTGTCTAATAAACAAAATGTCAAGAGTATAAAAAAGCTTTCACAAAGGATATCCGATAATCCTTGTACTGTACTTTGAATCCTGTTATGACATATATATGCATACATATAATTAAGCCTCTCCATACTCTACCGAACTAAAACAAGTTCAACACACCCACAGCAACAGGCATGCCTTCTACATATATGATCTTCCATGTTTCATCTATGACCTTATGTTTTCTTTACATAAATGATCTACCAGAAGGAATAGAGAATTATATGAACATGTTTGCTGATGATGTTATAATACTGGGAAAGACAGGAGACAATTGGCATGCCCTTCAAATGGATCTAGATAAAACAATTGCTTTGAGCGACATGTGGCAAATGGAATTCAATGTGAACACGTGTCATTTTATGGAATGTGGAATTGGAGAAAATAGACCACACACAACTTGCATATTAAGTGGAAAGGAATAAAAAAACTAATAAAGAATGAGATCTAGGGGTGGTTTTTGATAGTAAACTGTCACCAGAAGAACACAAAGAACATTGTGCGAGGAGTGTATGCATTGCTTTCCAACTTCAGACTCTCTTCTAATTACATGGATGGTGAAATATTAAAAAAAAACTGTTCATTAGTTAGAACTAATGCAGTGAAAAATTATTCCTTGATATTAAACACCGCATAGTTTCTGCTTGGTGATGTGGCCAATATAATCTCCCATTATGACATAATGCTCCTGCTAACACGCTAGTAAAACTAATTTCTTACCCCCGACTCTTGCTCTTGAAGCCCATCTGTTGTGACAAAAAGTGGATATATTTCCTCTCTTCTGATGTAAGAGATGATGGTAACTCAAGCTCTGGAAAGAATTAAAATTATCCTCAGTAACTCTTGCATTAATTATTATTATTATTATTATTATTAGGATTGTATGTGCATCACTCATGTTTATTGCCTTGTTTCCCACTTTCATGGAATGGAGGTATCAGCTTGGAGGAAATAGAGGACAGCATTGGAAAAGGTTAAAAATAATAAATATAGTAAACAATTTACATACCATAATATAAAGTAAAATTAACAGTAACAATATTTACAAGCTTATCATAACATATTGAAATAAAACTACAATTGAACAATGTATCTAAGGTATTATAATGTTGATAAGGCTGGTTCATTGGTACCTTTGAGTCAAGAGTGTCATTTATAAAATGTATCAATACAGAGGACCACTTGGTTTGCGAACTTGAGTTATCCAAAAGTTCCAGTTTCCCGATTGGGGTTGGGGAATCCCGCTACATGAACTAAGTTCGGATGAGGAGGCGGTCCACCAAGTGTTGCGCCGGCCCAGGGTAGTGGATGGGTGGGAGATGGCCCACTGACAGTGTCAGGCACCACCACTCTAGAGTGCCTTCTACCCTGTGATGTCACAGATTTATGGCCTATTGTTCCCATTGTTTTGATCTGTTACGAGGCTGGAGTGTTCATTCCGTGAATTTGTTTTACATATCTGCACAATCAAGGAACATCGGTGCACCATGTCGGTTCCAAATGCAAGCATTGCGTCGGTGATGGCTGACTGGTGGGTGGCTGGATGGATGGGGGAGCTTCAGTGGGAGGCAGCAAGTGAGGGAGAGGGAGGTAGTGAGGGAAGGTGATGTAGTGAGATGCTAGGAGGTAAACAGGGAAGTAGTGAGATGCTAGGAGGTAAACAGGGAAGTAGTGAGATGCTAGGAGGTAAACAGGGAAGTAGTGAGATGCTAGGAGGTAAACAGGGAAGTAGTGAGATGCTAGGAGGTAAACAGGGAAGTAGTGAGATGCTAGGAGGTAAACAGGGAAGTAGTGAGATGCTAGGAGGTAAACAGGGAAGTAGTGAGATGCTAGGAGGTAAACAGGGAAGTAGTGAGATGCTAGGAGGTAAACAGGGAAGTAGTGAGATGCTAGGAGGTAAACAGGGAAGTAGTGAGATGCTAGGAGGTAAACAGGGAAGTAGTGACAGGGGAAAATTAGTGAGAGAGGGAGGGAGGGAAAGGCAGGCTGGGAAAGGCTGGGAGGGAAAGGCAGGCAAGGAGAGGCTGGGAGAGAAAGGTCTGGCAGGAAGGCAAGCAGGGATGGATGGATGTTGAGTTGAACTACGTGACCTTGAAGCAGTGAGTATGGGATGTATGGTGGTGGGGGAGGTGTGTCGGTGGTGGGGGAGGACGGGCTCACTCGGATAACCCTAACACACTCGACCCCATTAGCCAGATTTGTTTCTTAGATTCTGGATGTACATAATCATATATATTTTTTTGGTTACAGATTTTGTTCAGTAATATTATTAGGATAATAAAGAGTTATAAAAATACTTTATATTTTCTTTACTGCTGGTCTCCCTCCCTCCCTGGGGAGTGGGAGGGAGGTAGACCTAATATTCAACTAATTGAATATTAGTTGAATAGAATTCATATTCAATTTACTTATCATTATAAAGCATAGAAAGTGCTTAAACTGTATACAGTATATGTATTGCGTATTATATGGCTTGGTATTATTGCAGAATGTAACTGTACTGTAATTATTTGATCAATAAATCCGCAAGTCTGGCAAAGTGTTTGATTGGCTAAGCATAATAATAATATCAGCTTACAATCAACTCGTTACACTTCCAGGATGGTACACTTTATTAATAAAATATTTATACATTGGTTTAATATAATACACATGCATAATTACAGTACAGTAAGTACATAGTACTAATACTGTGTAAATGTGAACCTGTGGAAGCCCTCACCCGAGAGTTATGGGATACATTGGAATGAGTCCTATGGAGTGTAAGGAGTAGATATATGATATGACTGGCAAGTCAGACAAGTTAATCTGATACTACAGTATTAACAGTAAACACTGCATGTACTGCATTAATGTAACATACCTTTCTGATCATCATTTTGGGTGAGTTTCTTAAGGGCAAGCGCTATTGTAATCTTGAGCTCCTCGCTTACCTGGGCCTCATTCACCATACGGTTCGTGCCCCGCCGGCGACCCATGGTGACCTGTGCACAAAGCTTTACTGTACTGAGGTCACAAACATTTCAGACAAGGAAAGATGAGGGCACTTACTACAGAAATATCAAAGCTTATATCAGAAAGCTCAGAACATTTAATGACAAGTGGTTGAGGATAAAAAAAAATGAGTATTTTCATCCCTCTAACACGAACTATTCCTGTGTGTGGAAATCACTATACTCCCCCTCAATAGTACCATCATTGATAACATTTATTATGTTCATCGACATCATGAACTGTATTCTTCCCCAGAACTAAACAATTCTTAAGTAATGATATTCACCGAGCTCACTTTTATACATAAATCCCCACTCGTCCAGACTGCAGTGATAATCCAACCATTCCTGTACTAACCAAGTGTCCTAACAGTGAACTAGCTCGCCAGCAATGTCTAAGCTTGATAATCCACCTCTGCAACTAATGAACAACTTCTGTAGTCTTCTAACGCACCCAATGACACACTGTCAACTCACTGTAGGTAAAAGTACAAATTAGACGGTGGTTAAGGAGAAAAATGTGTTTAGAGCCACCCCCGCAGCAGTCGGCCGCTCTCGCCGCTGCATCCCTCGACCAAAACAATGTGTCACGGCGGCGGACGCTCTCAGCGACTAAATCCTCTGGCGGCCAACTTACTTAGCGACTATATCACCTGGCGGCCACCCTACTAGCTCACAACATTCCTTTTTTTTATTTATCTATATTTATATATAATTATGTGTATGTATATATATATATATATATATATATATATATATATATATATATATATATATATATATATATATATAATATATATATATATATATATATATATATATATATATATATATATATATATATATATATATATATATATATATATATATATATATATATATATATATATATATATATATATATATATATATATATATATATATATTTTAAATGTGTTATAAATATTTTTAATTATTTTTATTAATGATTTAATTGTTTGTATTAATTATTTTATATAAATTATTTAATTATTAGTATATATTTATTTATATATACAAGAGTTCTTACTTTTTTTGAGATTGTAGCGAGTAAATCTTATTCTCGCTCCATTATCTCAATAGCATAACTAATTAGCACTAATTACAGGAGCTACAATTCTTTCCCCAATTACAGGTAATACTCTGTATCCAGGACTACTAAATAAATATGAAACTCACTAAAAACTGTGTATCTAATCTACCCAACAACGTAACATAATCGTACGTTACAAGATATATACAAGAATTCTTACATTCTTGTACAGCCACTAGTACGCGTAGCGTTTCGGGCAAGTTCTTAATCCTAGTCCCTTGAATACGACCTCCACGAATAATCGTTTTTACAACCAAGTAACCATTTTACTATTAAGTTAAACAGAGGCTACAGTTAAGGATTTACGCCCAGTAAATCCTCCCCGGCCAAAGTGCTCGCGGAACGCCAGGTGAGCGTCTTACCACTACACCACGGAGACTGTAAAGACTTACACTGAGTCTTACGGAGATTTACATTCTTGTAAAGCCACTAGCACGCATAGCATTTCGGACAGGGTGAACAGTTGCCAGGTTGGGCTACAAGTAGCGAATTGGGCTACTTTTGAGAGCCCCGCGCTCCCAAATTTTTAATTTCGCTACTTGCTACTTTTTAGGCTAATTTAAAAGCAAGTTGGGCTATTAATGTTAAGCAACTCAATGATGATTATTTATGGTCAGATGCAACACAAACAAGCACCCCCGCGATAGCAGCCATAGACTGACAATTTAAATGCGAGCACAGCACGCAGTATATCCTTTTACGACCAAAGATCACATTCACTCCAAAATATCTTCCACTTACGGGCTATTCATGCCTGTGCCACCTCTTGGGTAGCTTAATCTTCATCAATCAATCACAAATAAGGAACAACGATTTCAAGTTCAACAAGCCACAACTTTGGACAGAAAACAGGAGATTTTTTTTCACCCATGTAGGGCTTAACAATGCACAACTACCAAATCATCAACATTATCTTGGAGTCAGAATCCACCAATCCCTGATAGTTGTACAACAAGTGGAAGCTGCAGTTATAAAAGCAAACCAAATCCTTTGGAATAGTCAAACGAAATTTTGACGAAGGAAAAGGTAGTTATACAACTGTATAAATCTCTGGTGTGCTTCCACTTGGATTATTATATCCACACATTGAGACCTCATCTTCAGAAAGACATATCTGCTTTGGAGAAAGTTCAACACCGGGCGACTAAAATCTTTCCCGAACTAAGTCGGCTTTCATACCAGGGACGGTTGAGGGCCACAGGGACCAGACATGACAGGGCTGCTCTCGGCAAAACTTTTAAATTACTGAATAATTTGGATAATGAACCACCCCACCGCCGGCACTCGGATAGTAATCTTGGGCATAGCATTTTACCCAAAGAATGAGGTGATTTGGTAAAATGATATGCCCAAGATTACTATCCGAGTGCCGGCGGTGGGGTGGTTCAAATAGCCTCGGCTATCACCTCATTTTGTCCAGTCGTGATGGTCAAGTGGATTAAGGCGTCTTGTACATACCAGTTGCGTTGCTCCTGGGAGTATGGGTTCGAGTCACTTCTGGGGTGTGAGTTTTCAGTTGCATATTGTCCTGGGGACCATTCAGGCTTGTTCGCATTTGTGTTCCTCACGTGTGCCCCAAAGAATGAGGTGATTTGGTAAAATGCTATGCCCAAGATTACTATCCGAGTGCCGGCGGTGGGGTGGTTCAAATAGCCTCGGCTATCACCTCATTTTGTCCGGTCGTGATGGTCAAGTGGATTAAGGCGTCTTGTACATACCAGTTGCGTTGCTCCTGGGAGTATGGGTTCGAGTCACTTCTGGGGTGTGAGTTTTCAGTTGCATATTGTCCTGGGGACCATTCAGGCTTGTTCGCATTTGTGTTCCTCACGTGTGCCCCAAAGAATGAGGTGATTTGGTAAAATGCTATGCCCAAGATTACTATCCGAGTGCCGGCGGTGGGGTGGTTCAAATAGCCTCGGCTATCACCTCATTTTGTCCGGTCGTGATGGTCAAGTGGATTAAGGCATCTTGTACATACCAGTTGCGTTGCTCCTGGGAGTATGGGTTCGAGTCACTTCTGGGGTGTGAGTTTTCAGTTGCATATTGTCCTGGGGACCATTCAGGCTTGTTCGCATATATATATATATATATATATATATATATATATATATATATATATATATATATATATATATATATATATATATATATATATATATATATATTTATATTTATATTTATATTGGGCTACTCTTATATCAAATTCGCTACTTTTAGACAGTCAGCTCGCTACTTTCAGCAATATGGACCTGGCAGCTCTGCTTGTATCCCGTTGGGATGTTTACAGTGGCGGACATTGTTCTTCTGAAGCCCAGATTATGTGTAACCACACTACTGAACTTCATTTAATGTCTATGTGTTTGCTAAGTAGTTAATTTTAGCTGTTAATAACGTTATATTGTGTCTTTAAAATTGACCATCACTGTATTATGTCGGAAAACGTGTGTGTGTTGGGTCCGTGTTGTATACCAAGTGTATGGGTGTGAACTGTGAGCTAGGGAGGGCATAGTATTCTCTGCCAGTACATAGCCCACGCTCTCTCTCCCTACCAGTTTACGGGCTCACCATAGCCCGTGCTACATGGTCATTTCGTTCTGAATTGCTAAATCTGAAAAATAACAAACACTACCAGTTTACAGCAAGACTCATCACAGCTCGTCAGTTCAAGTTTGTGTTTATTGAGACAAAGAAATACAACTCAAAGAGATAGAGTAGCTTAGGCTATTTCTACCCTGTCTACTTCAAGTCCCTCAAGGGGCGCACAAATTCAGTGAGTACAAATACACAAATCACAATACAAGAATCCCATTTAACATTGCAGGTTAATATAGTAAGCACTGCATATAGGTGTTACACTCTTGGGGCAAAATTCTTGTAGCTCCTAAGTATACTGTCTATCATATCCTTATCACACATCCAAACAATTTGATGTGGTACACTACTTATTTCCTTACTTCTACAGTTATCAATAAGTTGACACTCTTAATACATAATATTCTAAGGTGTGGGCGTGCGGCATACTACATAATTTATACTCCTTATCTTTTTCACAGACATCAACATCGTATTGTTAGATATATTTGTATCGTAATCTTAATCTCATGTAAATTGACTCCTTCCAAGTAGACTTTCCTCTACCATAGGTGAAGGACGAGTTTGTATTTATTATTGAATAATTCTTAATACTGTCCACCATTGCCATTCTCTTTACCATTTCTTCACCCTCTTAAATCATCTTGATTCATGTTTTTATTTGTTTCAAGGTTATCTGACATACAACATCAACAAGAGTTTTTTCCGTGGCTCTCTTCGCTATCTCATCATCTGCCTCATTCAACAGTATTCCCACATGTGAAGGGATCCACATGAATCATACTTTATACCCAGTTTTTTCTAATTTCTTAACATTCTCTCTATACTCTATCACAATATTCTGGTATACTGGGCGTCTACAGTGCTGACGTCAGTGTACTCCCTGATCAAGACTCCACATCCTGCCTTCCCATCCCTAGCTACTGACCACAATATACATGTAGAGTGTTTTCTGTAGGTAATTTTCTAATTATACAATCATATGTTGCCCTCAGCTCTCCTATTTCATACATACTTTATTTCTTTTGCAAGGGAATAATTACATCTACATTACAATCCTCCCATAGTGGTGTGAATTGTCTCTTGGGCACAGCAATACACTCTGTAATAACATCATACTTTATAACATTAGAACACAAGGTATTCATATATGCTCTTTTCTTCATTATACATTGTTCATTACTTCCCACCTTTTTTAATCGAGAGGACTAATTCATTAGCTCCCCCACCTCTCATTAATCTAATGGCAGAGGCTACATTTATCTCTGAAATTCTATCCCCCAATACT